ATATCGGAGCTCAGTTGTAGAGCTCACAATCTGAACGAGAGAGAAAGAGAAAACGAAACAGATAGCCAGTCTACTAGACAGTAGAGCTGGAAGGATATTGATTAAATTAGAGAAATTGTGCGGTCAAGTTCACACCTTTTCAACAGGAAGGCAAACATCATCGAAAGCAATCCCACGGTCCACGAAGCTCGGAAGATCTTTCTTGGGGTGACCACAACCTGATGTCTCGAGCTGTCTCCATTCATCCTAACAAAGCAGACAACCATGAAGCTATTACACTCCGTTGCGCTATTCGTGAACAGTCTACTGACTGTGTCATTATCTTTCGCTTGGATTCCTCCAGCTCGTCAAATTGCCACCCGACCAAAATCCGTGGGTTTCCCAAGAAGATCTTTCGATGGCAGAAAATCCTCGTTATCCTCTACCGCATCCTCCGATACCTTTCAATTCCAAACAGGGGAACCCTTCCCTTATGCCTTGGAAGTATTTCAGGGTGCCGTCACGTACAATGAAATGCTCTCCTACTTGAACAATAAACTCCTGGAGTATGGCTATTCCATTCCGCAAACACTCTGTGCTACTTCTCTCTGCGGCGACGAAATGAATCGCCCCCTCGAACAGGCTCTCTCCCAAACCTTTTGCGAAAATTACAGTTTGGGTGGTCTTGCCGGGTGTCCCTTTGGAGGTGTGACTTCCTTCAAGAAAATGAAGACCCACATTCCCGATGGCGGAAATTCTGTCATTGTCTACGGACCACATGTGGGGATTAGCCAGGATGGACGCATTGGACATGTCGATCGCGCCCAAATCTCCGCCACCGAAGGAGAACATACCCTCTGTTGTCGATCGGCCATTTTGGCAGCCAATCACGTGTCGCAAGTGTTACGGGGAGAAGCCGAAGCCATGCCCATGGATTTGATGGATGCTTCCCAGTACTTTGTCGGCAATATGCTGAGGCCGTATGCGGAACGACTGGAGGCGCACCAGGACGAGAATAGCAAAATGATGGATCTACCCTACGTGCTGTTTGAGGGACAAACGGATTTGTTGTACCGGATCATCCAGGAAGGATCTCAATTTGGATTTCCAGGAGCCGTGGCGGTTCTGGGAGGGATCCAAATCAATACACCTCCTGGCTATTTGGATTACTACGTTCCACTGAGATTTGAGCTCTATAATGCCGAAGGACAGTATTTGGCCAATATGTTTGAGAGTCCGTCGTGAGAGTGACGCGATGTAATGTGATTTGGCAGCAAAACAAGAAGCCAGGCTAGAGGAATTGTAGATAGACTCCACTCCAGTTTCTCTCTATCGGTAATGTAGCAACAGACAGAAAGTGACCTTGTAAACATGGACACGACGATAATGTACAATACGACAACATGCGTGCTCCACACTACGGTACCTTTAGGAGAAGTTCTAGCAGTGGCCTTGGTGACGAGAGAGCAGCGTAGCTACAAGTATAGGGGTTCGATTTTTCAGTTGTGGAGGATCGATTGACTCCATGATGAGAATCTCTAACTTCAAGCAATTGCGAGGGCCTCAGTTTTGGCGTCCGAGCTTCCAAACGGTTCCGAGTCGTCGAGTCTAGAAATAAATCCAAAGCACAACTCGCAGTCATGATATCGATAGTCTACCTGGCTAGTTTGGTAGCCAGATTACCTGGTAATCACCTACCCAGCAGAGGAAAGTCGAGGCAGAGGGCAAATCTACGTTGTCTGTTGGTTGCTGTCCCACTGGCTAGCCTACAACTGGTACCGTTACCACCGCAGTAATTTGTCGAAGGCTGGCACGCCCACGACCTAGGATAATGCTTCGATTGGAGGAGCAAAAGAACTTGGGTCAGTACTAGTAATCTACAAGTAGAATTTCACAAACATAGCTAACTAACTATGATCGTACTTGCTTGACAGATACTACTTTGATCTTTCCAATTGCCTTTCTACCTAATACGTAAATGAATCGAATCGTCTCTATTTCTACACGGTGAACACCTAAAAACGTGCGAGGTGGTGGGGAGCCAACCCTCTTCAGTAGATAAGGCGAGCAAATCTCAAAATAGCCTCGTCTTCACTCTCGGCCTTGACGGCTACGAACGGAATCATCTTCATCATATTGGTGGACGTGCAGATCCCAGGGCATTCGTTCACAGTCTCCTCCTTCTCCACCTCCTTCTTGAGGGCAAATTCTCGGGCTTCCTTCTTGAGAGCAAACTCGCGGGCCGCCTTCTTGAGGGCGACTTCCCTCTGGAGAGCGGCATCCTTCTTCTGAGATGCTTCCGTCGCCGCCTTGAGTTTCTTCATTTGTTGGAATCTCGACGCCACCAGACCTTCTGTCAAATACGACACCTTTGGCGGGGACGGCTTGACCTTTTCTTTCGGAGACAAGTATTTGCCTTCCTTCATCTTTTGAAGGCGCGCTGCCATCAGGTCTTCTTCGAGCACCGTAGGGGAAGACGACTCTGTTTGCTCTTCCAAGTCGATGATTCGACGAAGTGCGGTCTGGTACTTGTAATTCAGATTCGTGCTTGTGCTACCCAAGCCACTGCTGTTAGCGGTATTATCCAACCTTTGACGTTTGTTCGGTTCCGTAGATAATACGTCCTGCAACAGCGTCTTGCCATTGGAATTCACCAGCGGAGAGAGACGTTCACTGGTACTACATGTACTGGACGGTAGGCCTAACGCACTTCGTATCGCCGCAGCTCGGTCGCTGATGCTTGGTCCGCCCAACGAATATAGCGTCGTCATGGTGAGCTCTTGATCCGACATGTGATGGCTGTTGATTTGTGCTACTTCCTACTCCTTTAGCTTGCTAGCTAGAACAAGATGATATATAATTCGCAATTGTTGTTTAGCTTGACGGCGATGACCTCCAACTTCTATGGTACTCAGTCTAGGTAGCCTGCTACTTCTGTTTGCCGACGGCAGATTCGGACCCGACTTCGCCGTCTTGAGCACTTTTTGAGCTCCAACAGTTAGTTGGTGGTCAGTCCACAACGAGACTTGTCTGTTGCTATCTTGCTGGCTGTTTGCAGACTAGTACTCCACTCGTCACTCCAGACTCTCATAGTCGGTGGTTCTAGCAAACCATTTAAGTGGGGCACCCTTTTTAACGATCCAACTGTGCACCATCTACGAACCGTAAGATAATACGGCTGCTATATAAATCTATTACTTATCTTTAATCCTTGTCCGGCCGAATTTGGTAATCAAATTCATAAAGGTATTTTCTGTTTGCAGATTCCTCTTATTCTTTGTACACTTCTCTGTCACTGTGATAGACTAGTCCTTATACCATCTTTACACACAGAAAAGGGCTCTTGAGTCGGGTATAGCCTTGAGGCCTGAGCCAGTGCCGTTTTTGAAGGGTCCAAGTCCAAGGGAGCCAGTAGTCGGTCAAGCTGTTTTTTTATTGGGTTGGTCGCACCAGCTTGCGGTTCGCAAAGTTTGTCTGACTCAGATTTCATTTGAGCTGGCAACAAATTCCTCTTGAAGTTCTTGCAGATAGCAGCTGCAGATGCTACTTTCCTCTCAGCTTCGCCGTCGTAACCCCGATGAGCTCTCCGACCTGCGTTGCTCGCTCCCAAAGGCGTTGGACTTGAAGCATCTCTAGGTGGCATGTTGCCTTAGGTGGCGCGGATGATAGCGGAGCCTTAGGAAAGCACCTCCTGTACTACTATTATTTAAAATAGTAGGGGAGGCAGGTTGGTTACTGGTGGCCGCGGCTATCGTGCAAAACTCCAAGTGAGGCGCGAGGCGCAGCTCAAATCCAGGGCAATCATGTCTACCATAAAGCACACTATGTCTTGGCGTCTTGGCTCAGTTGCTGCAGATCACTGAAAACAAGCTGTTACCGCTGCCAGCAAGGCAAACCGCAACCGAGGACCCGGACAAATAATTCTACCACTACTGTAAAAGAAATATGATAAAACTTGAGGGGGGCCATTGCAAAACGAGACTTGTCGTCCCGTTCAGGTCGCTCACACGCAAGCTGAGACACACAAACTTTCTATTGTCCGCTGGTCGCTCGCACTCAGCTGCTTCTGTCACTTGACTGGGATCCCAGCCACCTACGTGGTTGGCATATCAGCGAGGTCTATCAACGGTACAGTGCTAGCTAGTAATGAAGCGTAGGTTGGAAAAATTCAAAACATTTATTTTTGCTGAAAATGATACTAGCTAGTACTGAGAACTGAGAACTACATAGCTGGTAACTTTTTAAAAGCTTGTATGCATACATATTATGTACATGGATGTACCGTACTGTACCCTTTTGTCACCCCCAATTTTGTGCTTTAACGCTCGCTTATACTTAGTGAAAGCCAGTGACCCAAATGTTAAATCCAACGATTCTAGGAGTTAAAGCCCGTGATCCCTCTGTTCCTTAAGACTACTCTGTGGTTATCAGTCTATATGTCTATATGGTTATCAGTACTTGCCATGATCCAGCTAGATTATTGGTTTGTTCCCAAGAGCTCCCCAACTTAGGGCTCCAGGCTCCACGCTCCACCCTCCAGTGTTCCAAGTTCCAAATTGCAAACCCAGCAGTCCTCTTGGATCCTGACTAAGCAAAAATCAAAATTACTGAACTTTCTGGAAATATTGGCCAAATTATTGAATGTTTTACTTTCAAGTTCCTTCAGAGACACACCTTTCCGGTGGCTCTCCCAACTGCGCTTTGTCTCTCAGAAATAATGCACACGTACTAGCTAGTAGCCAGCTAGCTAGCTACAGTACTACTCAGAGACCAGCAAAACACCAAAACACCAAAACACCAAAACCCTTTTCTTGCTGCCGTTCTGCCCAAGATGGTTTATTATTTTTTGTTTTTGGCCGATTCGATTCAATTCGATTCGCTCCGTGCCTGTAAAGTTTACTGCCAAGATTCAGAATAACCCTTTCAACCCTTTACTCAAAAGAGCAACATTAGACCACAATGCTACCTCCATCATGGAAGAAAGCCCTCATAGCCCTCTACAGCCTTCTGCTCACAATTGTTGTTGTGGTATATGTTGTGGATTTGATTCTTTATGAGGAGACGTGGGTTTGTACTGCTTGTCGGGATGGTCAAGACGCCTCTCCTGTCCCTCTATTGTTGTACTTTTCAGTCTGGACTTTTTGGTTGACCATAGCAGTCTTTTTGTCTTGGATTTTCTTGGAGAAGAACGATATAAACCAAGAGGAAGAGAGCAGTGGCACAATCAATGCTCAGGAACAAGGGGAAGACAATGGGGCAGCTACAACCATGTCAAAAAGGAAGATAACTACCCAATATCTGTTCTCCTTGGCTCTGCCATTGACCCTGACAGTATCAGTAACCTACACTCACTACATTGCCACAAGACCAACTTCTGAGTTTTACAACGAAGATCTCTGCTATACTGCTTGGCGATCATCCATAACACATGAATTGGAAAAGTGGATGGCTGATTTGTATCTGGCTGGTGCTGTCATTGCAGATTGGACTATACACTACCTTTGTAGTTTCTTGGTTTTGGTTCTCTACTTCTCTGGAGAACTCCCTTATGTGGTTGCCCTCCCTTTGTCCACAAGTTTCTCCATCTGTTTGGGCATTATCATTGCTCTGGTCCAGCAGAGTGGCATAACTGTGTACTGTGGGGGCAACATTTGGTTCAATGTTGGGATCATTTGCATGTTTACCCTGATCTTTCATGTTACATTCTATTTGGGAGCCAATGCAAGAAAACTGGGTTGCTGTTGCTGCCAACCAAAGGAAAACAACAACGATACAAAAAACATGGATACAGCTAGCACCAAACATATGGATACAAGTAGCACTAAACACGAGGGCACAGAGGAGCCTGACGAGTATCCTGTTTGTGTGGAGCACTTTTAGCTTGCGGTGTCTTTTGAAAATAACTACTCTAAAAAACTCCCCATTGCCGCGTTGTCTTCCTTCAATTGTCTCCTACTTGTACCGTCACTTCTCCTGCTAAAGTCAATAGCTAAATGTTCAATCTTTTTGCAGCTCTGCTGGATTTGAATCATGCCACGCATCATCGTTTCTCGTGAGCTTTGCGGCTTTGTTGACCAAAAGACTTGCAGAACAGAAATAAGGGGGGAAGGAAACAAGATGGGTGAATGCCGGCCAAGTCCATCCAGGAGGCCTAGAAACCGTCGGGGGATGATGCGCTCATCCTCCACAGGAACTGGATTGGGCGCAGAGTATGCTCCTTCTGCAACGAGTCAGTTCGTTGCGACGTCTCCCACCAACCGCAGCAGGAGATTGGAACTGGGGTCTGTTGCTACTTCGAAAAGTGGAGAGTCCTTGGATGATATTGGTGTTTCTGGAGGTATGATTTTTGCGTTTTTTGCCCTGATGGTGCCTGTTATGATTGCCCAGTGGGTGTTGACTAACGACAAGACGCCCGTGGGTTTCTCTTCGTTTGGACCTTTGAACAGTCAAACCGAGAGTCCACTTTGCACGTAGCTCCAATGTTACCCATGAAACTGATACAACTGGAATTAGTGGAAAGAGAAGTGGTCGGAGAAGACGTGTAAGTGAGGAAATTGAGGATGGCTCTGCTAAGATACGATGATTTCTTCTGAGTTTCACTTTTGTTCTGTATCTGGTTGCTTCATTCATGATGATTGTACTCTGAAGCTTTCTGTCACTGATGCTGGGCAGCTTGCTAGCCAGGCCACTAAAAAATTTGGCGCAACTGTGGAAAAGGCCGGAGGTCTTGCGGCCAAATTGAAAAGGGGGGCTCTTTCCAACTTTGCCTTGAAGAAGATTAGCTACGACAATGGAGCTGCGTGGAATGCTAGGCTGGCATCACCGTTAGTGCATGTGAACATACAAGTATCTTGCCGCAACTTGCCTCATCGGACAACGAGACAAGTCAATGCGTTTGCAGTGATCTGGAAATGTCCCAATGGGTACACGGGGCATCTGGACAAGGCCAAAGGTGGTCGGATGTGTCCACTACCAAGGAATCTGGAACATGAAATTGGACGCACTGAAGTGGTCCGCAATTCACAGAATCCCATCTTTCTGGAAACGTTCAAAGTGCAGTATAAATTTGAAGAGCAGCAGACATTTCTGATTCGCATCTATGACGAAGATTTGGGGTATACTTCTGATTTGAAAGAGCATGACTTTCTGGGCGGCTACGTTTTCACGCTAGGGTCACTGATGGGCCACCCACAACACAAGATTTTCACAACCTCGTTGGATCCAGAAAACCCAGACGCTTGCTTGATACTGCAAGGAAGGGAGCTGGATACTGCCAGAAAGTTTCTCGAGTTTCGATTCACTGGCTACGGTCTCTCCACATCTTCTGAATCGGTGTTGAAAACGACTGATCCATTCTTCATGTTAGAAACGTGGGATGAGGATGACGGCGAGTGGCATCCATTGTGGAAGTCGGAGGTTATCTTTCATGAACACAACCCCAAGTGGGCAACTGCCAGTCTGTCCCTCCTGGCTCTGTGTGGAGGGAACTTGGATGAAAATCTACGCATTACTTTCTGGTCGTCGGGAAGACACCACGCTGATGAATATTTGGGATTCGTTGATACAACCGTTAGGGATCTTGGGATAGACACACCAGATGCAGAAGAAGGCGTCGCATTCCCAATCAAGATTCGCAAGAAAGTCTTCTTTGGTGCCGGTAGTAGGCTACAAAAGGCTGGTACAGTACATGTTGTGAAAGCAAGCATTGTTGACAAGCCAACTTTCCTACAATACATCCATTGCGGCTGGGAGATAAATCTGGTCGTGGCAGTTGACTGCGCAGCCTCGCTAAGCCACAACAAAGAAAATGCTTCCAACCAATTTCAAAATGGAGCCTCGAAAAACAAATATCAAAGGGCCCTCGACGAGATCGGGACGCTGATGGAGCCATATTCTCGGAGCCAGTACTTTCGAATGTGGGGCTTCAATGCTCAGGTATCAATGGACGACAACGACAACGTCTTTGTGATGAATGACAAGGTGGCCGGGAGCAAGGGGCTTGTAAGGACATACAGCAAGTATTTTTTGGAAGGCAATCGTTTCATCTCCAGACACAAGGCATCGCACGTGGCCCCTCTCATTACCAAAGCAATTTTCCAGGCCATTGAGGAAAAAGAGAAGCGCGGTAGTTACACTCTCTTGTGTATCTTGACATCTGGGCATGTCACCGACTTGGAGGCGACGGTGGATGCAGTCCACCGCGCAGCCACAGATGCGCCAATCTCGATTGCCTTTATTGGATGTGAAGACGACAATAATCTCGACAAAACACAGCAATACTTTGACAAAACCAAGGTCCAGCGGTCCATTAGTGGAATTCGAATATCACGGGATGTCGCGGCGTTTACCTCGTTTGCCGAGTTTGGCAATGACGCATCACATGTCATTGCGGAAGGATTGCGGGAGCTCCCCGAACAAATGATACAACGTTTCTTCCAATCTGGAATCGACCCATCCAAGCCAGTTGCCAAGATCGATCGATCCCTGAATGTCCACAAAGAACGGAAAAAGGATCCTTCTCATCACCATCGAACAAAGCACAAGTCTCCCCCACACCGGCAGCGACATGCAAGTCCACATCACGACAAACAAGGAAGCCCTCGCCGTGGTGACAGGCAGAGCCCACGCAGAAGAAACAGCGGGACGCACAAGAAGGAAACTAAAAGCTCAGACAGAGAGCGCAGGAGGCGGCGACGAAGCTCTGCTTAGCCAATTTGCCTGGATTTAGGATGCATTGCCACATGTCATACACTGTCATTTGGTAGATCCCGTGGGTCAAACTTGTCTACAAGATTCTCAAAGCGAGGTCCTGCCAGTGGCACTACCCAGGGTTGCTAGCCAGCTTCTGTAACAATACTAACTCATATGTCCCCATATTTCAATGGCATCTGCTAGGATGACGCCTAAAGGCTACCGTTACCGGTACCGGAACTGAAACAAGGTTAACAACAGTGCGTACCGGTACCTCTCGTGTATCTGCAGGCCCCTCTACTCCAGGACGCGTTCTATGAATATCAATAGACGCAACACCAGGATCAACTCTAGGCCCCCACATCTCCCGACAGGCTACACTCCAGGCTCTACTACGACAAAACAAACACACAAGGATCTATCCTGGGTTCCCATACTGAACCAACCCGCGGTCCAGGGCTGGCACAATGGTAGACTCTGAGCCCCTCCCGAAGCCCTTCTCCATGCCTCCCTACCGGCACTGGATCCGCTCTCCAGAGGCCAACAACTAGGATCCACTCCAGGCCCAAACAGGGACAAGGAACTTGTTCTCTACTGAATGATGAATCGTTGAGAATCGTTGGAGCATCGTCCAAGCGAAGGATCTATTGTCGAGGAAGACCAACGACACACTGATACGCCTCTTTGACAACTTCCTCTGTGTACATTGCAAGTAACCTCAGTTTCCTTTTCAACCTTTTTGCAAGCACTTTTGCTACTTTTGTGGTAATGTGCGTACGGCAGCTTCACTTTCTCACTGGACAACCACCAGCGCACCACCACCCACCGCCGACAGCACGATATTTATAAATGTGCCCATCATGGTCCACCGTGCATCCTCCTCCAATCGTAGCATGCCAGCAAAGAGTGCCACAACATGACTGGTGAGGATTACCTTTTGCTGTGGCACTTGTCCAAACAAGAGTGCAAACAGAAAGATGAGTGGAACCATCGTTTGATCTAGAATTGTCAAACTAGCAATAGTCTCCGCCATGCGCTGCTGGTCGTGGGTTTCCATCCGTAGTGCTTGTGGCGGTGCATCATTACTTTTTGGAATGGCCAGTTGTATCATGGACTGCACCAACTGAATGGCCACGGTCACGGTAGGCATAGACCATTTGGTGCGATGAGACAGAGATCGCGATCGATAGGCACCACTATTGTGCAAGTAGGCTGATCCCGGCGGGTGGTATTCGGATTCGGCAATCCAAAAGAGCAATACGACGAGGGTACCCATCAAAATGACGGCTTGAAAGGAGGCCAGTTCGGTTTGGAGGGTGCTAGATGCCATCATGCCTCCCACCAAATACGCCAGGATGATCAAGACGGTGAGGAATCCAATTTTGGTTTCCAACCAGACAAATCCGTTGGCAGAAGCGGCAAAACTAGAGAGAAGTAGGGTGGTGTGGAATTTGGCCAGTGCCAACTGCGTGACCATCTCAGCATGATTGGGAGAGCAAGTTGTTTCGTCCACCAAAGCAGTGGTGTGAAAGAAGGCACATCGAATGGGATTGAGAGGTGACAGTAAAAGACAATTCAATCCGTTGTAGGTACAAAAGACCAAAACGGTGGTCATGACCATGGAAACATGAACGGAAGGAGCCGTGAGGGCAGCTTCGATGCCTCGTTTGCTGTTGTTCCGAAAGAGTCTTTGGATGGTTGTACTACTTATAGAAGTACGGTTGGTACTTGTAGTCGTGGAGGTACTCGTAGACGATGATGATGGCATCTTAGACTAAGCTGTGGATTAGGCATGCGACAGAGAGACAAATAAAGATGATGGAGATCGATCAACTGGGTCGCGGCGGCCAGTGACCGCCATAGTCGATGAATGCTGAGGCCAACGGTCTCCTACAGGCCAAACGATAACGTCATCTGTTGGATCTTTGTGTTGTTGACGTTGATACGTTGATCAGAGGTCGTGCTTAGGCCAAAGATGACGTCATCACATTAAATCTACCGTGTACAGTCACGGGGAAGTGGCGAAGTGGCGAATAAAATCTTTCATACACACTTCAAACGGCAGCAGCAGCAGCAGCACAGCAGCCGTAACGCCGTAACGGTAACAGCCGAACACCGGACAGCGGAACACACTCACCAACAGCCAAAACATTCCAGTGAAAGGCAAAGCATTACTCTAGACAACCTTGCTTTCTCTCTATTCTACTTCATCACAACCTACTACCGTACGCACTGCTACAAGAAACTACAGCAACAAGAAGAATAAGAACAACATCTACCGGTACTACCAATACGATGGACACGATGATGGCAACGACGACGAACATGCTTCGTACTCCGACGCAGATCATTGAGACGACGTACAATCTGTACTGTAACCCCAAGTCGAAACAGCGATTGGCGGCTGACTTTTTGCCTGGTCCCTGGGATGTGATTTGTGCGCGTGGAAAGAAAGCGCACGACCATGAAGGCAATGTCCGTTTGCGGGCCATGGTGGATCAACATCAAGAAGAATACGGCAAGTGTACTTCCAAACACGAAAAGAGCAAGATTGTCTCGTACATTGTCAATACGATCCGCAAGGAAGCGTCCTATCACAATGGAGGATTCGTCAAGAATATTGATGGTATTTGGTACGAAGTAGGAGATCGAGCGGCCAAGGAAAAGGTGAGCCAAGAATTGGAAGTGGGATATTTGTTTGAATTTTTGGCTGATTTTTTATTTTTTATAATATTTATTTATTTTTGTGACTGTATTCATAGATCGGCCAAACGTTCAGGGACATGCTGCACACGAAATACAGTTCGTCCACCAAAGCCAAAGCGCGAGTCCGCGTCCAACGACGAGTCGAGGAATACAATTCGGCGCATCCCGACGCTCCCGTGGCGGCGCCTTCTCCTCCCACTACTCCCACACCACAGCAACCGCGGCAGCATCCACTTGAACGGTCCAATTTGCCACAAGCCATCTCCATTCCCTTGACCATTCCTTCCATGCGACAAGTCAAGGAAACAACCACCAACATGTTTCGAAACAGCTTTACCAATCCACTCAAATCCTCGGGAAAACGCTTGTCCGGTCTGCTCATGAAGAGCGACAAAACCGCATCGGAACAGTCGCTCTTGCGAGGAAGTGTCCAAACGGTCGATTTGCCGCCCAATGCGGTATTGCCCAAAGACTCCATTGGCGACGGGGATCCATGGTTGCGCATGTCCACCGAAGACATGTTGCGACACTCGGTACAGTCCGTCGATATGCCCGACGATGCCGTCGTGGAAGAATTGAATGGGGAAGATTGGATGCGCATGTCGGGAATGTCCACGGATGGTCTCGTTTTGGATCAGAGTAATATTGCTGCTACGAACAACAAGAAGAGAACCATGATTCACGATCAAGACATTGATGAAATTGTCAATGCATTCATGACGGTCGAACAACCACAACAGTCGCGAGAACGGCCCTATGGCGTTTTTAGCACGTCCACCAAGAGCAATCCCTTTTTGCAGAGTATCACCGTCGGAGACCTCGCCGCCAGCAGTGGTGCCCACAACGGCAGCAGCAGGAACAATCCACTCTTAAAATCCTCCACGGCCAGTTCCTACATGGATATGGACCTCGATGGACTTTTTGGATCCATGGGATCAATGAGTCTCGGGAATATGAACATGGCCGCGGCGGATTGAGTTACAAGTACAGTACAAGTAGTGAAAGAAAAGGAAAATCGTTAAACAGAAAAAACCATTCAACCAAACCAACAATCAGTTGGTGGTTATTGTTTGCTGTGTGCCTGCTGCAACACACACAAGAATGCTCGGGAATCGTGACGAAAGGATTGGGAATTGCATGCATAAACAAATCGATCGATACACTGCACGACCACTCCAACCCAATCGCGTGGATGCACCCATCGCACGAAAAAGGGTGGCTGCCTCCCTCGTGAGATTCTTTATTATTATTATTAGGTTTATTACTTTGTGTACGTACAGGACGACGAGGCACGGATTATTTTTTTTGGTCACAACTCGAATCGAATCTATCAATCGGAATGGTCGAGGTAGCGTGGCTTGGCTAGACTGACTGACTCACTCGATGTCGCTCTTGCCAGATCTCGACGATGATGCGCTGTACGATATGTTTGTACCGTTTATCTTTGGTTTTCGTGCAACGTTATTTCATTAATAATATAGTAAAGTGCCTTATTCCTCAGCTACATACATGTATTGAGACCAAATAGACCTGCCATTCCGTACGGTAGCCACCCACGCGCCACGGAAGAGCCAACGGCACGCTTGACACAAGCATCGTACCGGTAACGACCATGCTCAACAAGCACAGTCACATCCACACAACTGCTCTGTGCAGTCAAAGAGTAGTCCAGAAACAAAGCAGGATTCAAAGCTGTTCGGGATGCATGTGCCATTGAGAGTGCAAAGAGGGTCTGGAATAGATCCAGAAAGCAATGGGTTCCCCTCAATTCGGAGAGTGTACAGCTTGGACTGCAGGGGAGTCAGGTCCGATGGTACGGTCCCAGTAAGAGAATTGTTTTCCAGGGAAATCATCCCTGGCATTGCCATCATCCCAAGCTCGGAAGGGATTCCACCAGTGAAGTGGTTCTCTCCCAGGCCAACCATTACCAAGCTGGAAATGTTGGCAAGTTCAGTGGGAATTTTGCCAGAAAGCTGGGCTGCATTCAAGGAGAGAATATTCAGGCTTGGCAGCAAACCCAGCTCGGATGGAACACTTCCTGAAAGTGCATTCCACCTCAGATCCATGATGGAAAGTGAAGGAAGCAGGCTCAGCTCTGTAGGAAGAGTCCCCACAAGCTGATTGCCGTACAAGGAAAGGATCCAAAGATTTGAGAGGGATCCAAGCTCTGCCGGGACTGTACCAGAAAGGTTATTTGCCACCAAGACCAGCCATTCCAAGGATGTGGCTTGCCCCAGCTCTGTGGGAAGGGACCCTGTGGCAAGAAAGAAACGATAGAAATTGAGCAGAGGGAATGAGTGGTCCATTGAATGCAATTTGATGTTCCCAAGTGATCTGATGGACACCTACCAGAGAGATCACAATCATCAAACACCAGCCACCTTAACTTGTGCAAAGTCCCCACTACGGAGGGGATTGTACCTTGTAGCTTCTCATTGAGACCCATCCCAAGCGTGTCAAGATTGCTCAGTTGCCAGATTTCATCTGGGATGGATCCTTCCAAGTCATTGTCATATAAGAAAATGATTTCCAAAGATGACAACTCTCCTATTTCCTTTGGAACAGATCCTGACAGTCCAGTGTAGAACATGGCAAGCCCCAGCAAGTCTCTTAGCTGCCCAATGCGGCTGGGGATTGTACCATATAGACTATTGAGGCCAAGGGATAGTGTCTTAAGGGAGGTCAAGCTGAAAAGTTCATCAACCAGCGTACCCTCAAGATTGTTTTGATCCAACCACAAATGGTGATAGATACCCTTGTTGTTGCAGTGGCCGTCAGGTAGTGGCTCCAGAAAGCCTGAAAGGAAACCATAGTACAACATTCCAATCATTGTCTTTGCACCAAACTCTTGATTTTGATACCATTCACATTCGTGCACGCTGTAGCTTCCCCACCCTGTCTTGTTGAACCATTTGGTCGGACCAGCAGTAGCATAAAACACGGTCATCAGTGCATGCCTCTGCCGAATTCGCTCCTCTGGATATCCATAGACATAGGGGTCTTCAAGAAGCCATCTGAATGCCTGGTACTGTGGTGAATCTTCTTCTTCCATCGCCTTGATAGTGTATCCTGGCAGTGCGGAGAAAAGGATTGATTCCTGCGAGGACGGTGCCATTGATGGAGCTTCAGTTGGCTCAGATGCTGCCAATAGATCCGGATCTGCTGCTTGGTCTGTGTCCGGGACAAGGAATACAATCAAAAGCACAACCAAAAGAATGATAATGGACCATGGCAATGCCAATCGAAGTGTGGCTCGAAGGGCTTCCTTGCGTTGTCTACGTCTGCTTCCTAAACGACCACCTTCCTGCTCACTGATGTCTCCTAGTTCTTCAGCTTGCTGCAGGTCTCCAACTGGAGTCTCGTCCACCGGGCGGGCGACTGATAATCCGGCATTCTGTGGATCTAATAAGGACCCTCCGGCAGTATCCCAAGGAGCACCGTGCGCTTGGTTCCGGTTGTCCTCCAAATCATTGTCAACGGCATGCGGATCGATGTCATTTGCTTCTGTGGCTGCCCGATGGCTGGAATCTTCATCTGGGCCGAGAGGTCTTGACGATCCCACTGGATAGGCCCCCGGTTCAGCTTGGGGCCTTCTATTAGCAAGACTTCGTTGCAGTGGTGGCAATGACATAATTCCAAGATCCGGTCTCTTTGGACTATGAGGACTCCAGCTGGTAGAAGGTTCGGTCGTCTCGTTGCTGTTAGATTGCTCCAGGGATAGATCCTCTCGACGCTTATTCATTTCAGCACCACTACGACCCCGTGACAATCCCCTCTTCAGGTTGGCATCAAAAAACGATAGGCGGCTGCTACTGCTGTTGCTACTTACGCTCATGCAAGCAGTGGATGCTACAGTGGAACTTGACCTCGCTGGATCCACACCGCCACGATGCCGGGACAACCCCCTCTTCTGTTTGGAATCCAAATCGCATTGGCGGCTGCTTACGCTGTTGCTGCCTACGCTTCTGCCTGAACTGTTATGGAGCTTGACGGTTGGTTCCTCATGAGAAGGGCGGGGCAATCCCTTCTTCTCATTTTGCGTTTCCGCCCAATCAAAGTCATCCAAGTCGATAGTAACATCTCTGGTTCTTCGCACGAGGGAAGGCAAAGGTGACGAGTCTACCGAATAATCCTTGTTGGATTCAGAGGATGGGGGATCTCGGACCGGCGAAGTCGGCACGTCCTCGGCAATCAAAAACTGGCCGTTGGTATCGAAATCGTCCACATCAACTTCATTGCCAGGGGTTACCAGTGCTTCTTCTGTCGGATAAGCAGACGTCGAAAGAGTTTTGTCTGCCATATCAGCGGATGCGTTGTTTGTGAGGACAGAACGAGGGCTCTTTTTCAAAGTTTGTTCTTGATTCCCTCTTGGTTTGATCTTTCGCGGTGCGCTCAAACGGTTGACGACAATCCTAACTTTTCAAGCTTCTTAAAAAAAAAGAAAAATGAGCGGACGCAACGAAAAATTTGCAGCAGACCTACTACTGGTACGACTGTACGGTCTTGTCTACAGTACTTTCAGAGCAGCTTTTTAGAGGACATTGCACGGCTGTGTGTAATGGCACCCTATCATACCGGTAAGCATGTATGTGCTCTGTGCTACAATAATGTCAGCGGGACGTTTTACTACAGTAGCTACTATTAATAGTAGCTATGATAGCTAGTACAGTACTAGCTATTATAGTAGTACGGTAGGCGTTTTGCTATAAATTTTATTTTCCCTCCACCTTAGCTTGAAAACAGAAAACAGGCGTGAACTGTTGGAACACTTTAAGAAAACGGAGTCCTACATATTAAAGAAACCCAGACTTACGTCAGATGCCTTGTCTCAGTTACTTAAACAACTCAACCCCCTGTCTGTCAGAACGAACCTGTCAGCTGTTACACTGTGTAGAATGAGTAGGGTACCGGTCCAAAGTTAACCGACGGTTAACCCCCAGATTCATCACTCGAGACTCAAGGTTCCACGATGTGGAATCAACTAAGTATTCAGAGACCGGAAGACGCGAACCAATGACATTATTATTTAAAGGCCGAGGACAAGTGGAAACACGATTGTTCCTAAGTTGAAGTATGATAAGATTCGAGAAATATAGATTTAATGGCTAAATGCAGTTGGTAGCTGGTGGAAACTCAAGCTCTGTCCCGAGAAGTAATCTAATAAGTAGTTCATACACTGTAACCTGCATTACTAGTACTTTAAAGTTGTAGGTTGTAGGATCTGCCATCTGCCTCCTGCCTCCCAGCTTGAAGAGCAAAGTAAAATTTAATGGTTACGCGTACATGTATGCATAGATGGGACATGGGACTCAAGCAACTGTCAAGGTCGAAAGTTGTTGGTTCTGCTGCGTGCATTGTGACATTGTGATCAGTACTTTGATCGGCATTGGCGATGCAAGTGCTGGTTCGATTATCTAGACTATCTGGAAACATACATGTCCATGATCTCTGGACGCGTGATCTCAGTGCACTCAGAGCTTTGGCTTCTTTTGCAACCTGCAACCAACAATAGTCTAGCTAGCTCCAAAAATCAACATCCAGGTTCATCACTTGTTCACGCTCGGGGTGCAGTACTGAGATTGCATAAGCTGGCCACTGGCCAAATAAATGTGGGTGGCAACGAAGGAGCGAACAACGAACTGGCAACCTCCAGTACAGCTGCACAGACGCCTGCACAGACAGCTGCACAGCTCAACTAGACTACAGTACCGGTACAAGTACCACTATGTACATGTACACTTCCATTGTAACAGCTCAGGCGTTTCAATTCCTTCTCATTGCGTGATCTCTAAAGGAGCGTACTAGTATTGCAGCTTGAACAAAACTGCGCTCTCAGCCACGATGAAAAAAATGACAATGGCCTTCCTATCTGGTACTGCAGCACTATGCATAGCTAGGAATGATGAATGCCACAGAAAGGCAACGACCATGTCACCTTCGTTCTTCGTTTGGAATGCTGGACAAACGGAGTGACACCCATGGCTGGTCATGCACTTTGTGAAATGCATCTTTCCCAAGGGAAGAGTTTTTAACTCTCTGTTTCAAGGGATCGTTGCCAGCGGCCAAGGTGGAATGGCATTGGGCTGCATGAATTGTGGCAGTAGTCTTGTCGGCGCAGCATTCTTGGAGACGGTGGTCTGCAAACATTGTTAGCGAGGTGAGCATGTGGACGGCACGGTCGTGACGTATCTCGTGGCAGCTGCTACCTCGGGTTGATTTGATTCACTTATACCATGATGTTTTACTGTCCATGCCCTTGAACGTGTACATTCTTGTGTGCATGGCTGGGGGGGACAAAGTAAGTGCCATCTACCACCGACTTTGAACGAGCTCGGAACAAACGGTAACGAAAGTCAAAGGAAGCAGAGTGGTGCGGTGGAAAAACAAGGCAGCGACGCCAACACAAACACTGAAGAAAATGGCAGTGGATGTTGTCATTAGCTGGCTGGGTTACTGTAGATTGTTTATCTTGTTGGTAGTCACTGTTCTTCATCATTGTCATGTCCCCAAGACGGCTGTCCATCTATCTCTTTTTGTATCTCTCTATTACCCAAACACTCGTTCCATAGCCTCTTGGTAATCCTGTTCCGTCTTTAACATTTTCCCTCCATCGAGTTTGTCCAGTGTCACCTTGACTTGCTTTGACAAATCGTATCCCCAATACCCCCAACCGGCCATGAAGCGACAAAAATCGCAAAATGCCAGTTCCAAAGAATCGTCCAATTGTTGTCGTGTCGGTAACGCCGCGGTTGTGATTCCACGTGCCGTCAAGTGCTGCAGCAGACTATCAAAATAGAATTGGACCAATTCCTCGTAATCATCGACATGCGACGAACAAAAATAATAGGACAAATCGCGGGACGGTGGACCTCTTCCGACGTATTGGAAATCGCAAAAGGCCAATTCGTTGTTGTCGCAATAGAGAATATTGGCATCTTTGGTATCGCCGTGGACGAGACATTGGAGTGGATCTCGTTTCAATCGTTCGTCAATGGCACGGGCGGCCTTTTTCAAGCGACCTTCCCACCCATGGCGCGGCATGTCCTGCCATTCGTTGGGACGCGTGTCCAAATGCCAATAAGATCCTACAGGTTGCAGTTCTGTGGTTGTGGATTGCCAGGTTGCCGCATGAAACTTGGCCAGCCATGCCATGACGTCTTTGTGAGTATTGTCATTCTCGTCATTATAACCTCCGGAAGCAGCAGGACTTTGCTGCAATTCTCCCATGGCAATGATAATAGTCGGATGCGTCTTGTCACTCAAATTGCGTTCGATGTGGTAGGGTGGTGGTGGCAGTGGCACGTCTTCTACACTGTGTAGGTTGGGAGCAAACTGTTCGTAAAAATTGGATTCCACAATGTAACTGTCCAGTTTGCGTTGATCACCAATCGACAACTTGCCGCTGGACAGTCGGGGGTGTACGTACTTGACGATGATAGACTTTTTGTTGTTGTTATTGCTACCACTCTTCCAGCTCACTTGATAAATGTTGCCCATGCCCGCCCATAGACGAGCTCTCGACACGAGCGACACACTCTCAATAATAAGAAAGCTCTAATTGGGAGTCAGTACTGGAGCTTTCTTAGCCAAGTGCTCTATTTTGCTACTCATTTTATTCTAACCATACAAGACAATTCCAGTATAGAAGACTTTCTTACTAAGCTTCTAGATCAACCAGTTTAGTGTTTGGATACAACCAGTGCACCTGGGCCTTGGGGTCCAACTTGCTCAGGACTCTTAATTGGTTTGGATCAAGTAAAAGTGCTGATCACTGTCTCTGCCGCCAGGCAGAAAATTTTGCAGATTTCGGCACAAGTTAGGATCAATTTCATGGTGTCAGACTAGTAGTATTTCTTGTGCTTTGAGGTATCAATACTGGGAAGCTTACTTACAAGTTTGTGACATTTCAGCATAAAAAGATTCTTATCTTTTTCTAAAATCTGAGTACTCGCTTTCTTATTTGGAGTTTCTTACCTTCAGGTTTGGAGTGTACCCGTGCATGTGCAGCAGTTGCGGGAATGCCTTGTTCAATGGCCTAAAATGGAAGATAGACTTCAAATTATTGGAAGAAAGACTGCTTGTGGGAAGAATGACACAATCCAGAAGGCTTCTTTCAAGGGTTAAATGAAAAAGTGACATAGTCTAATGACATAATCCGAAAGGACATAATTTCGACGTCGCATGTCGGCAGAAAGTGAAGCAACCCTCGGCTTAAATCTATTCTCAGAAAGGATTTATTGTTAAGACCTTTGTGTCTTAGAGAGCTCTTAGAAACTTCTTGGATCCAATGATTTCAGCGAAATTTGGAAATTTACAGCCGCAAAGCTCCTTTCCTTCGTTACATCATGATGTATCAGCAAGCTTCTTCACCTCTCCGCTACCAGTACGGAGGTACCGAGCGAATAATAGTAACCACCCCGATATCATCATCCAGAGATCTCTAGCTAGACTAGCTAGGTCGGCTCCGCAATTGCTGCTTGCTATCGACGTTGCTTTGTGAAAATCTTGTGGAAAGGAAGGTACGGAAGCTGTACATGCATCCGTGTCAATAGCAACGCAAGGCCCCAATCTAGACGAAACCAACTTGGGAAGGCTCAGCAAGAAAACTCGTCGCTTTTTCAGAACAACTTGAGGCAAGCACTTCGTCAGTGCCTCTAATTGAGGCAAGAAGGCAAGAACCTCGGATAGTAGAGCAGAATGGAATCGGAGGAAGGCAAGTCTGCGGCAGGTCTCCCTGCTTCGTCTTCTCTCAACGGTGGAGAGGAAGCAGAGGAATTTGACATAATTGAGCATGTGGTGCGACCGCGAATATCAAACACTACTGTGGGCAGCAACAGTGAAGCTGAATTGGCCAAAACTGAGAGCACAAGCCAAGAATTGAAGCTTGCTCCTGTTTCGTCTGCTGGAAACAGTTCCACTGCCAACGCAGAAACGAAACTACCAGAAGGCATATTGGATACTAGTAGGCGGCCTACCCACCAGCTCAAGACATCAAGTGACCACAGCCTAGTTCTAGACAGGGATGAAATTTCAAAACTAGCAGAAGCTCAAAGGTTTCTGCAACCACCTTCTGATGATCAGCCAAGATACAAGGAAAATAAAACCTCCGAGATCCGTGACAATTGCTCACTAGCCTCCCGTCAAGAATGTGCACCTGGTGCCTACTTAGAAGCCCCTGGTATGGAACGACAAAGAACTAGCGAGGCAAGGTATTCTTGTTTAGGTGTTGCAGCGGCAGCAGAGGAAGGAGATGCCATGGCAATGCAGATCCGTGAAGATGGCCCACCAACCCCCAGTCGTGAATATGCGCCTGGGGCCTACGCAGAAGCCCCTGGTATGGAACGACAAAGAACTAGTGAGGCAAGGTTTTCTAGTTTAGGTGTTGCAGCGGCGGCAGAGGAAGGAGATGCCGTGGCAGAGCAGAACTCACAAGAGGAACGCCCCGCTACCCAGATGAACGCTCAATTGTCCGTGCCACCACACAGTTCTTCCACAGGTTTCCAACCGCATGGCACTACTGATCCGTCCTACCGATGGAGCCTAGCCAACAATGTTTTGGCTCTTGATCAATCAAATGTATTGGCAGTGGCTGCGATGGTGCCAGAGGATCAGGGAGATCTGCCACGGTATCTGCCCCAGGCTGCAGAATTTGACATGGATTCATCCCTTCGGAGAAAAGAAAAGTTCATGAAACAGTTTGCGGTTAAAACCATGCTGGCGGCTGTTGCCTTTATTGTACTCTTGATCATAACATTGGTGATTCTCATTCCCAATAACAAAGGAGCCAACACGGCATCTACAAGGGAAGCCACACCAACCGCCATGCCTTCACAAATGCCCACATCCTTTGACGGCTACATCATGTCTCTACTACCAAAAGAAGCCATTCTGGCCATCACCAAGCAGACTGATTCTCCTCAATCCAAAGCCTGGCAGTGGCTGTTGGAAGATATGGAATTTCAAGGCTCTCTGCCAGAAAACCGAATCATGCAGAGGTTTGCCCTTGCCACACTATTCTATGCCACTGAGGGAGAAACATGGGCAAAAAATGACAATTGGCTTGACCACCAGATACATGAGTGTGAATGGTACAACTCACCTGATTTTGCCAGCAAAGCAATCGTATCAAACATCTATGAGGGGTTTCTTGCTGGCTACATGGAACCAATGCCCCTCCTCCATTGTAACAATGATGGTATATACCAACATTTGTGGCTGAACAGAAACAATCTTGTGGGCACATTGCCCCAAGAGCTCTACATGATGACATCCCTTCAATCACTGTCTGGTGTCTTCAACTCATTAAAGGGTGAAATCTCTACATATATTGGGCAACTGACAGCACTGCACGGGCTTGCATTCTCTGACATCAAGGGCACTGGAGCAATCCCCTCGGAAGTTGGGTTGTTGACCAACCTTCAAGTCTTTCAATGTCGAAACTGTGGTTTTCAAGGACACATTCCCATGGACATTTGGAGGCTGAGCAATCTTTCTCATCTAATTTTGCCTGTGCACCCACAGTTGCAGGGCTCCATCCCAGCAGAGATTGGAAGGCTATCCATGTTGACGTTCCTTATCCTTGATCGGTGCAACCTTTCTGGTAGGTTTATGGTTGATTGTTGGACCCTTTGCAAATTTCCTCAATTGACTCACTCCTCGCCTTCCTCTGTGAAAACCAGGTAGTATTCCTTCGGAAATTGGTCAGCTCAGGAAACTCGATCTTTTCACAATGAATAGCAACAGGTTCACTGGTACACTTCCCACAGAAATCGGTCTTCTTGCAAACATACGCCTGTTGACGCCCATGCTCAACCTGCTCCATGGCACCATCCCTTCAGAGTTAGGACAACTTACATTATTGACCACGCTAACACTTCGTGGCAACAAGTTTCACGGGACTGTTCCAAGTGAACTTGGACTCCTTACCAACCTTACAATTACGCTCAACCTTAGTGGCAATTCGCTTTCGGGAACCATCCCAACAGAGCTTGGGGTCTTGTCAAGGCTTCAGGAGCTAGAATTTCAAGGAAATTGGTTGTTGTCTGGCCAAATCCCCAGTGAACTGGGCCAACTTTCATCTGTCGGCCATCTTACGTTTGCCAATAATTCCATTTCTGGCACGGTGCCATTTGAGTTGTCTGCTCTTCGGTCGATACTCCATACATTGACCTTGGAAGGGAACCCACTCTTATCGGGTACGATTCCTGAAGCTGTTTGCAACATCAATGGTACCTGTGTTGGAAATGCATGGGATGAATGTGATATGATACAGGGTTTGTCGCTTGACTGTACCAGCCTCCTCTGTGGTTGTGAGTGTCCATGCAAGAATAGCACTAACCCATAACGATCAACCAGTCTCAGGGTCAGGTCAACCAACCACAAAACGAACCAGCTAGCTCGCTGGAAATCACCTTTGTTCGAGACATTGCCAGCTCCCCATTTCCTTCAGCAACCTGCCCAGCTTTGAATGTATGAATAGCCACCAAGGGCCGGTGGAGGACACTGCCTGGTCCAGCGCTTGTTATTGCTTGGTTCCGCTCCAATCCTCGAGTGGAAGGCATAACTGTTTACATGCACTAGTAGTGCCCCCCTTTTTAGAAAAAACTGCAGTTTCATTTTTTCAGCCGTTGACAAACCGATGGCCCGTCATCTCCTCTCATCGGGACCAATCGCCCGCTGACGGTGTCCTTATTGATAGGTACAATGGATACTCCAGTAGAGCACCAAGAGAATTTTGTCAAAGACAAGGACCCAACAGAAGATGACCCTAGTCAAATTCCGACCCGCAATCTGGAGCATCTCTTTGGCTCCTCAACCACAATTCGCTGTGCCTTGCAGAACCATTGCATTCCGTGTGGCTATAAGATTTGCAACTCTGATGTGGCGCTGGACGGCGAGTTCAACAAGGTGGTTCCCAATCAGAGACCAGAGCAGTGCCCTCGAGCCAAGAAGCAGGAAGGTCCAGATTATTCCATGGGTTATCAGACAAACGGAATGCGAGTGCTGACTGTGGGAGACGGAGATTTTTCGTTTAGTTTGGCAGTGGCTCGGTTGCTCTCTTCTGCTACTAAGAGTTTCAAGAAGAAGAAGAAGGGCGTGAATCTGGTGGCCACGAGCTACGAATCCAAAGAGACGTTGCAGAGGGTTTATCCCAGATTCGAAGAAACATCTGCGGAATTGACAGATTTGGGTGCCACACTGTGCTATCAGGTGGACGCCACTCGCCTCCACGAAACTCTTCCACCATCAAGAACACTGTCTAGTTTTCACAGAATTGTTTGGAATTTTCCATGTACTGCTATTGACGAGGGACAAGATGGGCAAAACGATGCCATGGAGAGCAACAAGCAACTGGTCCGAACCTTTGTCGAAAATGCCCGACGGTTGGTGGATCCGGGTGGTGGAGAAATTCACATGTGTCACAAAACAAAGCCTCCGTTCAATCAGTGGCGGATAGAACAAGTGGCCGTGGAGAAGTGCCAAAAGGATGGGCCTCGCGTTGTCTATAGAGGTCGTGTCGTGCTGGACAAATGTCTTCTGCCTCCCTATCAACCACGAAAAGCCTTGCACTCCAAGAGTTTTCCATGCCACGATGCTTGTTTTTATGTGTTTCGAGTTGGCGACAAGAAGAGTGACACGGTACAAGAAACCATTCGAGAAAATCTATCCTCCGAATTCGATCCCACAGAAGACAACAAAAGGGAAACTTTAGTTCCTGTTACGAGAAAGCTAGTGTTAACCATTCGGCGAAGCTTGCTCGACCAGGCAGCCAACAAGCATCGGAAGAGTCGCCAAGGAGGAAGACAGCAAAAGAGACGGAAGCGATAGTGGGAAACCAATCCACGACATGCAAAGGTTGCGCTCGGGTTCGTGTTGCATAGAGACACTGCAAAATGGGGCCCCGGTGCGTGCTCTTCAATGGTATCTACCGGTCAAAATGACTGGAATAGAAGCAGAAGCTGGGAAGTGTTCAACCTTAGAACTGACAGAAAAGAACTTCAGGCAAGTCGCCAATTAGCTAACCTTCCTGGGCTGGCAGAATTGGAATGGGTTTCTTCTTGACGATCCGTGGCGGTCTGAATAGCAGGTCGATGACTTCTGCCTTGGAAACTTCCACAAACCATGATGTGCAATCGTTGACACCATAGGCAATAATCAACCTTGAGGGATCGTCTGCTTTCTCGACCATTCCAGTCACAAAGTGAATGGAAGGGCATCTGTAGTCTTCACCAGCAACACTCAGGCTGTTCCAGTCCTGGTTGATGCTCAAATAAGGGTTTTTGTTTTCATCATTCTTATTGCCAAAAAGGACATGTTTGCTGGGGTCAGCAGGAAGACAGAAATATCCAGACATGGCAACAACCTTGTAAGGTGATGTAGGTTCAAAGGCATAGAATCGTGACAAGTACTGATTGGGTTCGGTCACACTCTGGAACTTGGCGCGTCCGTGGGGCGTTTTCACATGAACCAAACCAAGGCGTAACTCTTTGCTCTCTGGTTGGGCAGTGAGGCTTCGTCTCTTTGGCGGCCGAGGGTCCGTAAATGGAACACAGCAGGCACCTCCACGAGCGTAGGAGAACGGATTTTCAAAGAAGTTGTGACGATAGTGCAGATCGTATTCCTCCATGGTGTAAAAGCTTGGATATGGAACGGTGTCGTCCCTTGTTGCGTTTTCTGGATTGGGTGCTGGAGTTTTGCCAGTTGGGTCAACCTTGTGCAGGACGTGTGGTAAGGGGAACATTTCGACCATTGTGTTATTGTCCGCATCCACAAAGTAGTTCAGATTCTTGGACTTGTCAATGTCTTTCCAATACCTGGAGCACATCGTGCGCTCGGATCCCACGGTCACTTGTAGCTTGCTCGGGAACATGCCGTTGACAGTTTTCTTCCCTTTCATGGACGAAACCGGCTTCACCCACAGTGGAAGCATTGCGCAGTATGATGCGACGTAAATTTGCCCGTGTAGGACAAACAAGCGAAAGTCCTCGCGTGGACCAAAATGCATTTGAATATTCACAGCATTGTCGTGTATAATTGAAAGGTCAGATCTCAGCAACGCCAATCCCAAAAGGTCAAGTTGCCTTGGACGTTTTTCACGGTCCCAAGAACCTCCAATCATGGCCAAGGTAACATTGGATCGAAAACAGTTTTGCTGTGTGGATACCCTGTAGGATGCAAGGTACACTGGATCTTCTCCAGGAATGTCGGGTTTCTGGTCCGCCGGCAACCTTATTATGCTCGGGTTATACTCGAATAAGTAACGTCGACCAGGGTAGGCGTTTTGGGGATCGGAAAAGTAGTCGAGCACGCGAGATTCCTGATTGTCGTCCGTACCAGTCAATATGGAAGCTGGGATGCGCCACTGTTTACTGATGGAAGGAAGATAGTAGCTTTCGGCTCTCAAAATTTTGGGAGCTGCATCATCGTATCGCCAGTACTGTTTGTGGCGCTTCTTGCAGGTGAGGCAATGGCGGCACTTGTTGTTCCCTTGTTCTAGAACCAAGATTCTGAGAGCTTCCGGGTAGGACACATTGTTGCGTTGGGATATTTCATTTGCAAAGTAACCACACGTCTTGAATGGCCTGTCACCGGCTTCTGTGAAGCGGCATCCACCGCAAACGTCATCTTCTGTGGCATGCTGGGATGCTTTCACGCTGGCCGCCGCAACAGCTTCACGCACGACATTTGAAGTAGCGTTACTTGAAACTTGTATCTTCTTGTTCGTCATTGGCTTGACGTGTCCAATTGTGTTCTTCTTGTTGCTCTTGTGCTGGCGCTTCGTATTGTGCTGTTCTTCCTCCTCCATTATCACTGCCGTCCGCCTCCGTTTCGGTGTTGCGTACGCCGCTGCAGCTTTCTCGTCTCGATTTGCAGGTGTCCTTCCACCTTTCTTTGGAAAGTCTTTGTGCACTTGAGTTTGTCCCTTCGCCGACGATGCCACAGCTTTCTTGTCTCCCTTTGCAGTCTTCCTTCCCACTGTATTTGGTAAGTTCGTCTTTTGCGCTCTTTTGTTTCCCTTGGTCGCCATTGCAGTTTTCGTGGCATGCTTTGTTGTCGTTTTAACACCTTTCTTTGTCATCTTTTGCTCCTTGTTTCGTAGCAGTGATATGATCGGCACCGGTGGCATTGTCTTCTTCTTTGGTGGACCAACCAAGTGCTCGCTAACACCATTGTTGGTATTGTCAGTTAGTGGGTTTTGCTTAGTGTTCTTTCGTAACGAACCTATGATGCCCTTTCGTATAGATGCAGCGGCAGAATCAGGCAGCATCTTGTTCTTTGTAGCTTTTACTAGATCTGGAGGTAGGGTGACTATAATACGCTTGCTTATTGATGCCTTGGCGAAATTTGAGGGCATGTTTGTGTTTTGGCTCGGTTGGTTTGGCGCTCTCAATGGTTCTGGTATTTCGATGTTTCTTCTTGTTGGGGTGGTGGCGAACGACGGCGGATAGCGCTTTTCTTCCACTGCATTGCTTGAGCTATCTGGCAAGTACACTTGCATGGGTCGAGCTTTTTGAGGGGTGACGCCATTATTGGCGTGTTCCGGCTCCGTGCTCTTTGTGTCTCCGGTTGCTTGCTGTACAACATTTTGTACACGTGCAAGTCTTCTTTTTTGCGCCGCGGCGGCATTGGCGGCGTCAGCTTGACTTGGATTGGGCATGTGAAGTTCGACTTGTCGTCTTAGCAGCGACTTCATGATAGCAGCATGTTGTGCCTTATCTTTCTTGTGTGCCTTGGAGGGGTGAGGTCTTCTTCGCTTCCTTTCTGCGGTCTGAGCAAAGGACTTGACATCGTGGGGACTACTTCTCCATAGTTCTGTCAAAGGACCCTCCTTCACTAGCTTCATTGTCACAAGTGTATTGACGGCAGCCGATGCAAGAAGGAGGCCAGCACAAACCGCCAGGAACCGAGTTCGTCGCTTCGAGCACATGGTCTCATTGGGTATCTTGCGAAAATCGTCTGTTCACCGAGGAAGATACCGGTACACAAGGATACCCTTGGTTTTTACTGTGCGGTCCTCTTGTTTTCGTCTGGTGGCACTCTGGTGGCTGAATTACGGTGTACAAGACCGAGGCTCAGATCCAAGGGTATCAACGGATGCTGGCCAAAAAAGAAAAATTTCAATCGTGCTTCCACTCCCGCAGCAGACATGGTTCGCTTCGCCTGTCTTCTACCCACCCGAACGCTCATCTTGCTTTTACGATGTCCTCCTCCCCTCTTGCTTGCGGTGGACCCACAAGGAGACCTAGAACTTCTTGCAAATCCACTTCAATGAACCAAGATGTGCAATCTTCGACCCCATAGCCGATAATTAGCCTGGAAGGGTCATCTGCTTTCACTGTCATGCCCGTGATGAAATGGATCGCCTGTCGCAAACGATACAAACAAACGTTACGAGTGAGTTGAGCAAACCAGGAGAATGACGGCATGTTGTGCTTCAGTGTCGTGTGTAGCTACGTACCGGACAACGATACATTGTACCAGCAATGGTCAAATTGCTCTTGATGGGTACCTTGGTCAATGGATGCGCCGAGTGTGTTCCTGCCTTTGGCACTGCCGGCAAACAAAAGAGACCCGAATACGCCACAATCGCATAGGGCGGTGTGGGCTCAAACGCATAAAAACGACTCAGATAATGATTCGGTTCGACAACCTTTTGCAGCCGCCTTCGTCCAAAGGGAGTCTTGACATGGGCAATGCCCATTAGCAGTCGCGTGCTGTTGGTTTTCTTCTGACTGCTGCTGCTGCTGATCAGTAGTACCGACGGTGTATCAATTCCAATACAACAAGTACTCCCGCGATGGCCAGTCAAGACACCCTGAAAGAATCCACGGCGGTTGGGCACATCCAGTTCTTCTCGTGTATAAAAACTGGGATTGTCGAGGGGAGTGACAGCGTCCCGATATTCCACCACGTCGGGATCCGGTTTGGCCAATAGTTTGATGGGTATGACATCGGGACGCACATGACGAAGTACCCGTGGATCGTGCGGCTGAAATTCCACCACGATATTTCCGATTGCATCGACAAAGTAATTGAGATTCTTGGCCGACGCCAAATCTTCATTGTATCTGGAACAAACGGACGGCAAATGGTGCATATAGACAATGAGAGGACTGGGAAATCGATTCTTCATTCGAATCACGACGGGATAAAAGCCTCTTTCATCTGGTTGTTGGGGTGGTTTGGTTTCTTGCAACCAAATGGGAATCAATTGACAATTGCTGGCGAGATATATTTGCCCTTTGAGTATGAACAATCGAAAGTCGACCCAGGGGACAAACATGTCGGGTACGCGAAAGACGACGTCCTGAATCATGGTCAAGTCCTGCCGCAAGAGTGCCAATCCTAATAAGTTGGAAGTTTCGGGTCGATTGGACCAATCTCCTCCAATCATGGCCAAAGAAATGTCGGTGTCAAAACAACTTTGGAGATTCGACAGCCGATAAGATGCTAGATAGACGGTTTCGTCTTTTTGTGACTGTGAAATGGGCAATTTGGCCTTGAGTGTGGGTGGTAGCACCACAATGGAAGGATTGTATTCAAAGTAGTATTCTCGTGTCGGATATACATTTTGTGGTTTGGCAAAGAATGCTTGCAATTGCTCGTTCGCTTTGGTGGGTGGTTGATAGACCGATTCGGGGATTCGAAATCGAACGGAGACCGACGGGAGCGTATGGGAAATGGCATGTCGAATGGTGGGTGCTGCCGCATCGTATCGCCAGTATTTCTTGTTTGCGGGTGGGCAGGACAAGCAGCGAGTGCATTCGGAGCACTTGAGACACACTTTGCGATCTTCTGCGACCACAGGGACTGCCTCTACCAGAGAAATGCTCCGTTCCTCGGCTGTCTTGTTGAGTAAATGGCCACATGTCATACCTCTTGCCTTGGCGGCCATGATCAAACGACAGCCACCACAGAGTTCATCATGAACAAAGTCAGGTGGGTCATACTCATCATTTTGTACTGACACAATGGAGGACAAGGAAGGAAACTTGCCACTACTACCAGTACTGGTACTGGTATTACTGTCAACAACAACGGAAGCAGCTCGAACAGTCTCCACTGGTGACTTTGGTTCAGGAGGCGCATCCGAAATGACGGGTTCTTCCTGGTCCAAGAGTTGAATATACTGTGCCAATGCCCGAAGATGAAGCAGTAAACACAAAACCAGCAGCACTCCAACCTTCAATACAAGGCAAAGGCGTCCAGCTCTCTTTGTGGCACCCTTGGTCGTACTCTTCACTGTTTGCATTGCTCTATTCTATCACTCATCCTTGTCTTTACTTTATGCTTTGGCTTTGCATGGTTTTCGTCATCTTCTCCTTTTTCCTCTTTTCAGATTTTAGCCTCAGCTCCAAATCCAATGTTAAGGATAAGGCTTTCCTACAAAATCGTTGCAGTCTCCGCGTGGAAGATTTCTTTTGGACATCACACAACGCCTCCACAATGGGCAGCGACTTCATCACATCAACCAAGTCAAAAACAATCAAGCAACCATGATGAGAAGAACAACTGCTCCTATCTTGCTGGCACTGTTCTTCTGCTGGACGACAGTGGCGGTGTCTGGACTGCGATTGCCATTTCAAAAGAAGAAATACACGCCACTGATTTTCTTCACACTTCCCAAGGATGCCAATCCAGAATGTGATGCCATGGAATCAGTCGTCTCACAAGTCGAAAAGGATCTGGGGGTAAGTGAAGACACAAAAACATAGTTTCGATCGATGAATCGCTGATTCCGTAAAGGAAATGCAGATGTGTGGAGAAGAAAATGTTGCTTGCGTAACTTGATTTTTGTGACATACATTTCAGAACGTTCATTCGTCGAGTCTCATTTTTTCTCTGCTCGTCCTTCCCAGGTCAAAGTAGAACGAATGGATCTATTACGAGATCCATCCGCTCAAGCCTTGCTGGAACTGGTCGGTACCATGCCACCCCTCCTCTACAACCGGGAAAGCTGTCAAGTGTATCATGTCCCATCACCCCGGGGCGGCGGCGCCAATAGCAACAACGATCAACCACGAAAACCGGTTCGGATTGATCGCGATCAAGTGCGTGCGTGGGCCAAGGGACGACAAGTCAAATCGCCACCCCGAGGGTCCGCTTCTTCTTCCAACAGGCCCATGATGGTGAGCCAAGAAGACACGGCATTGGATCAAGACGAGTTGCTCAGCAATAACAATATTGATCCCAATCTGTCCGAGTTGCAACAAAGGGGTAAACAGGCCATCCAAGAACGAACAGCGGCAGCAGCAAAGGAGTAACTTAATTTTATTGGAGTTGGTCTACTAGCTAGCCTAGCTAGTACGATGTACCAGTATTGGTAATGATACCATAGCACTCCATTCACTGTAGCTAGCTAGCTAGCTACCGGTAGCAAAGGAGCAAAACAGTCTAGATTCACACAGCTCTACCAATTTCGGTGTACCGGTACTCGTAGGCTGTATAATGTAGCTACCGTAGCTAGCTAGTAGATGAGAGGAGCCACACTGAGCAATGCAGAGTGTGTTTTTGAGTCGAGTCGTTGGGAGTCTCAAGGTGAGGTAACTTGGTTGCCATTAGTACGGTACCAGGTGCGCGGTAATGAGGATGGATTTGCTATGGTAGCCAGCTAGATCTACTGCAGCAAAGGATCAACCTGCTCCGCTACATGTAACTCGCGTTGTGTCTAGCTAGGTAGAGCCAGATTTGTCGGCACCAGAAGCTCGATCACCAAAGACAGCAGCCAAATAATAGAGTTATACATTTTGGTGCAAGTCCAACTGGAACTGAAACAATCACTTTTTCTTATTGGCTAGCTACCGGTAAAAGGAGCGCATCGTTCTCCGTTTCAATACAATCTATGTTGTGGACAGGCGACAAATGCAGTCGAGACAGATTCGCATGAATCTTCCCTCTCGCTCCGTGCATTGTTGTCTTTACTGCATTGCATCTCTTCTTCTCTGGTGTCTGTCTCTAGTTACTAAACTGTTGTTGACGATACAACTCTTGATACTCTTGGACAAAGGCTTCCACATACGCTCGTTGAGGACATGTTTGCGGTGAGTAACTGTACTGTTCCTCCAACTGTTCGTGTCCCAATCGCGTGGCATAGCCTCGTTGGACCCACTGCAGGATTTGTTTACTGGACAAGTGAGGGTACACCAGCGACAAGAGACAAGCACCAATCAACCCAGCTCGCCCAAGACCACCCCAACAATGCACATAAACCGCCGTTGGTTGTTCTCCTTCTTGCGCAATATACTCCAACAATTGCAGTAGCAAGCGTTGCAACGGTTCTTGACTTTCCGGGACACTGAGATCGTCAATGGGTTTGTGCAAAAAGACTGGAGTCTTGTTGTTGTATTGTCGTACCAAGGGAGCGTATTGAATAAACGGCCGTGGCAATTCTCGACGAACCGCTTCGGGTTGCAAGTAGGATTTGCAATCGGCCCAAGCGTGGTTGTCGTCTTGCGGCGGTGTCTCGCGTTGCAGCGAACAAAAGACAGACACGTGGGCATTGGAAATGCGTTGGACGTGTTGGGTAACCGCCTGTGCAGTAGGGCCATCGTGGAGTGGATTCTGTCCTGGATATTGACCCACCATGAGACGTCCGGGAAGGAGCCAATTGCAGAATCCTCGTTGAGTGCCGTTTGGTTTGACAAAGGACGAATCGAAAAACAAGTCTTCCGAAGAGGGAATAGAGGTAGTGCCCATCTTTTCTCTGACAATCGAGGCCGTGGCCAAGAGTTGTTGTTGGAGTTTCGTTGGTTCTTCCACCATGCTGTGATTTCGATGTTGTGTCAAAATGTTACTGTGAGCTCGGTTGATGCGGTTCGCTTTGCGCCAAGTCATGTAGTTTTCATCATTGTTACAAATCTTGAGAAGGTTCTGGTTCCAGGCGGCCGTCACACTCATCTTGATTGTTTGTTTGTTTGTTTGTTGTTGTTGTTATTACTTATATATGAGATGGAATAGAATGGTGGATAGCTTGCTTGGTGTTACTCGTGGTGCCACAACAAGTACTGTACCAGTGAAGGCTTCCGCTTTCGTCAAGCGGTATCTAAAACGTGTGATTCGTTGGAGTAGTCTAAAGGGTCAATCCTAAACGGCTCTGGCAACAATCTATTATATGGTCTTTGGATGGTAATTGGAACGCTTTTGCTGGAGACTTTACTCGCCTACTAGTAAACCTCGTATGGCTTGGTACTGTAGGTCTGAGCTGAGCTGACTGTAGCTAGCAATGTGGTGCATTGGCATTTCGCTGGGTACGTCGCCTCTCCATTGCCGTGGTGGGTGGCTTGCTGAGTTGGCTTGTGACAGAGAGAAGGTGAACTGATGTTGCAGTTCGGCCGTGTCAGAGGGTCGTCATGTTCAACCAGCAGAGCGGCCAATCATTACATCTGTGACTGGGATTTTGTACCGGTGCCAGATTAGGCTTCGGAGGTTCCGCGCTTGAGAATCCAATGACCAGCGACCATGACGTACTGATGTATTTTTTCTTGACCGGTAGCATAAGCTTTCATCATCTCTATTTGTAGAACACTCTGTACAAATAATAATACAAGTTCATCATGAAGATTTCAACCACCAGAGATAGTAGTGGCAATAACGACAAGTCACGAATACTGTTGGCCATTGTCGGTCTCGTCTTTTTTCTCGTGGGACGCTTTTCCGAACGATCGTCTCGCGGAGTTGTGATCTTGGAACAATCACAAGCACAACCAAAACAAGCCCAAGCACAACCACGCGACCGCTGCAGTACCAAACTCCAGGAATTGGAAGACCAATGGAATGCACGTCGCCAAGCACGACAATCCTACACACTGGGTCAAGATGCCCAACCATTGCGCCACAAACAAATCAAAACCGATTCCAATGGAGCCTTTGATTATTTCGAGCCTGAAGCCGTTTGCTTTGACGACGAACGCTTTGGGACGTCCAATTCGCATGCCACGGACTTTGAACGATATCAAGGGGCGTTTGGAGATGGCCCCAAGTTTCTGTGTGGCGTCGATCGGATCATTCAACAGAACGGTGGCTGCCTCATTTACACGGTCGGCACGAACAAGAATCAAATTGAATTTGAAAAGACAGCCTCGCTCAATTTGAAATGTGAAATTCACACCTTTGATCCTACCATTTCCACCCAACAATATAAAGGAAATGACTATTCCAAATTTCACGAATGGGGGTTGGGGGAGGAGGATCCAGAAAAAAAACAAATTTCCCTGGAAACGGTGGTCCAGAAACTGGGACATCAAAATCGAACCGTTGACATTCTCAAAATGGATTGTGAAGGTTGCGAATACCAAGTTCTCAAAGATGCCTTTCAAGCCATGATCAATGGCAAGCTTCGCATAAATCAAGTATTGGTGCAATTCCATGCCACGGGCATGAAGAGAAAGAAGAACCCCAATGCCGATGACAGAATATACATTGTGGACACGCCACAAGACTTTGCCAACATGAAAGCTCTATTCCAAGTCGCCGATCAAGCCAACATGAGAGTCTTTCACAAGGAACGAAATGGATGGACATGTGGTGGATATGCTTGTATCGAGTATGCCTTTGCCAGCAATGAATTCTTGAGAAGGGCCAATTCACATTACATCTGCTAGCTAGCTACCGTAGCAACGACATTGTTTAAAAGCAGACAGACAATACAAAACAAATGGGGATAACAGCAATTATATGTGCGATAAAGAATACTTTGGAGGGGTTTGTCAGTGTCACATTCTCCATCAACAATGTGCAAATCTTCAATTGCCTGGCCTTGCCTTCAAAAAGTGGCGTGTCAAAGACGAATGCCAGAATGATCAATCCTCAATGCTCAATACATTCAATTCAAGCAAGGCAATCTGCAACCTTTACGGCAACTGATTCTACTATCTAAAATGGCAAACTTAGCTACTTGTCCACCACTACCGGTAGCTAGTAGAGCATCGTAGTCGTTTTCAGTCTGAGACTACTAGTAGCTAACCATGACTCCTCACTCTGAGCACAGCAATGTAGATTACATGCAGACTCACATTTGATCCATGTCATGTACAGTGCGAAAGCAGAGGCCGTGGCTGGGAGTCGAGGACGACGCTCTCAGCTCCTGTGTGTGTGAGGATATCCTTCAGAACCCTTAATTAATAGAACGGCGGGAATGCTGGGGCGAAAGACCAAGGTGGGTACGTCGCTCGATCCCAATGCGGGGAAAACAGTCTCCATATATCAGTTAGTTGTGCACCAAAGTCGCTCTTTTCCCGGCTTTTTTTAAAAAGAACAAAAAGATGGAGAATGGGAGGGAGTCCAGGAGGAGTTGAAGATCCAGATTGGCAGTGAACGGGGTAGGTTTGTCGTTCTTGAACACTCTTCGGCAATGATGGCCACCTGTTTGGCAGTTCCTCTCGGAACGAATGCAACCGTCACTCTGATAACGCTTACCTCTCTTCTTGGCAGTGGCCACAGCAAGGGAAGGTATCCACTCCAGCGATGATGGACAAAAAAAAGTGGAGGGAAGGGCTGCCCATACCAGCATTCCGGTACCAGAATGGGTCAAACGTGGATAGCGTCTCTGCTTAAACTAGCTGGCTCATTAGACAATAGATCTAGCCAGCTCCCTGGTTTCATCACAATAATATTCAAATAGGTCAAAGAGTGATGTCATTTTCATCATCGCCTGAAGCTTCGCTTGTCTCCAATGAAGCCGTTGTGACACCCACAACCCTCAATTTCGCTCCTCTCCAACCTTCTTCTGGGCCAGGGCTTCAAGTGTAGAGACTGAAGATATCTTCCACCCCGAGGGTACATCACAGTAGCAGCCATGTGGTCCGTTGTTCCGACTACGACCGCTACTCAGAGACATGCAGTTCTCACGGCGTTGGTGGCTGGTGCCAGTGCTACAGCAGTTTGGTGCAATCCCAATTCCACTACTACTAGCTTTCTGGAAACAGCCAACAAGAAACAAGTGACCAAAAACAACCACAAAGACGAGGAAGAATCCAATCCCATTGAAGTCAACTTGATGGACAAAATTGCCCACAAAGTCTACCTGAATCCCTCTCGGGCTCGCCTCCAGGCTGGTTCCTCATCGGTGGAACCTGTAGTGACAGAGCGTCCTCTGGGTGTACCCACCCATTTGCGCATTTTGGCCATTGATATGCCCGAAATGAGACAACGAGCCTTTTCCAATGGAGACTGTCGAGTGGCGTTTGACAAGGTCTACCCCGACGGCGTGGCACCTCCCAAGCAAGTCTTTTCAGGACAAGGAGAAAGCAATGAGCATGACAAGAAGAACAAAAAGAAACTAGATGTGCCACAAAAAGTCTGGGTCAAATCCATGATCCGGTGTCTACAAAAGGACACGCCAAAGGTTGGTGTGGAAATGATGGAAGCTTCGTTTGCGGACTTGAATCCGCAGAATTTGAGGGCGACACGACAATTAGGAGAATACCATTACGATCCTGGTAAATACACTCACCACAAACCCATGGCGACCAGCAGTAGTAGTACCACTAGTAATGATACGGATGCACCGACAGAAATCGCAGTGACAACCATGCAAGAAGCAGATGAACTGGATGCTCCATGGAATCAGTATGCCTTTATTGAAGAAGTCACACTGAGGGTGAGTCAAGACAGCATTGAATATTTTGCATGGTACAACTGACTGACCATCTTGTCCTTCTGCCACCAAAAAACAGATTCATGGATACATACCCTTTGGAGCTTCTCTAGAACCATCCTCGCGGTGGGGTCGGTTCCTGACTGGAAACCACTACAAATCCACCGTTCCATCACAACTGTCATTTTGGCAGTGGCCGTTGCCATCCTTTCTGCAGTCAGATCCACAGGGGTTAGATGGGGGAGGTACCAAAGTCAGAAACAACAAAGAAAACAGCAACAACAATCCACACAACAACTGGGCATCCCAAAAACCCCATGCTGTCATTGCCAATGGAGCTGCAGTCCAACGTGTCCCCAGTGGCTTGCGGTTGTTGCAAAAAACCTGTCAAGACGCAAATGTGCCATTGTTTGTGCTACACGATCCAAGAGCTTGGGGCGGCAATACGCATGAAAATCTACAACAAGCTCTGCGGGACGTCCGTTTCATCGTCAAACAAAACATTATCCTGGCCGCCATGGAAGAACAGTCTGGGTTTTCAAGGGGGAAACTCGTTGGGCGCATGGAACGACAAATCGAAGTGTGGGGAGAACAGTCTCGAGTGGACAGGCAACGACGACAAGAAACACTGCGGAGACGACAGTGGCATAAACTGGATGCTGTATCGCTGGAAAAGCGATTGGTGGAACATGGCGTCATTCGGCGTGAGGATCGCGTTGAAGATGGCAAAGTGCATCGACGATACACACCCGCCATGATGGAAATTGCTCGTCAATGCGTGGCAGACATGGAAGAGGAGAATGGTGCAGTGTCAAATAATGATCAGCAGCAGCAACAGCAAGAACAAAACAACTAACTTTAGTAGCAATAACATCACTCAACGTGCGGCGACACAATCGACCAAGTCTTATTCCGCTTGACTGGCTGACAAGCAGCCGATGAAAAGCTCTAGCTAGTACCGGTAGCTACCTAGCCAGCCAAACCTGAAGGCATTGTGTGATGTGGCAAAAGTAGGCTATGAACGTAATTTTTTCTTTCTATCTCAAAATCTTGCAAAACGTGTCATAGAGCGAGAATAACTCAAGCTGCCATTACGAATTTGAATTGTGGATGTCAACGGGCTTGGGGGGCAAGAAGCCGAATTCTTTGTGTGGCTTGCTTTTGCCCGCCTCTCCATTGCATCACCTGTTTTGTACAAAAATGTCTTCTTTCTAATCTAAGCAGAAGTGCAAACTGTCTTGGGACGAGCTGTGAACATGCGCTTGAACTCGTCAAAGGAAACCGCGCCACTGTCATCCAAGTCCAAAGCATCAAGAATCTCCTTGACGTCTGCATCGCTGAACGACTTGTCAAAGGCATGCAACATCTCCCGAACGTTGTCCAATTCCAACTTGCCCGACTTGTTCACATCGGCAATTTCAAACAGCCGCTTCATCTGTGCCTCGTCCGTCGTCGGAAAGGCTTGTCCCGTCTTCATCACCAACGCCTTTTGGAATTCCCGTCGCAAACTGATATCCCGCAATGACTTCTTCACCCACCATGGGCCCTCCGATACCACTTGTTGGTATTCTGCCTTGTTCATGACGCGGAATTTGCAGCCTCCCGCGCTCGTACAGATCGTGGAGGTATTGCGGGGCCGGCCGAATGCAATCGCGTAGTCGCCACACATTTCACCGGGATCCAGCGTAAAGACCAACTTTCCATTGCCGACGACAACATCAGCCTTTCCCTCTTCCAGAATGAACAAGCTTTGTCCAATATCACCTACATCGTACAAGCGTTCTCCGGCCTTGACTTCCTTCATCTCGTGCTTGGACTGATTTCGAAGCAGCCGAGAGGCACGTTCGCGTTTGCGTGTGGCATCTTTTTCGAAAAGATGTATTTTGGCAACGTTGGTCTCATCGCCATTGGTCCCCTCGAGAAATTTTTCAAAGTAGTTCCGGCTAATCTCAATCGCATGCACGGGAGTGACACACTTGATGGTGGAAGTGTTGCACCCGCTGTCGTGCAGCAGGGCACCTTCGCCAAAGGTATCTCCCTGTGTACGCGTACTGGCATGGCCGTCACTGCTGGACACTTGGATGGTTCCCGAGTTGATAAAGAACATTTGATCCCCACGGTCGCCCTCGCGATACACCACATGTCCCTTGGGAAAGTACCGGTTCTTCAGGTTGTCCGCCAACAATTCGGAGAAACCAGACAAGTCCAGAGCTTCTTCCTCGACCGGAAGTGTCGCCGCCGATGTCGCTTGCGCTCGAGCTTTGGTGGGCGGCTCATGATTGTCCTTGCGACCACTCAGTCGTCTCAAATCCTTCTTGGTAATGTACCCACGCTTGGATTCATCCAAATTGTGAAAGGCGCGTTCCAGCAGCGAAGTGTTCGCCGCTTGTGACGTTTGCGACATGTCATTTGACCACTGGACCATATCCGAAAAGACTTTGGCTTCCAGTCGGCTCTTGTATGCGCGGTAGGAGCTCAACTTCTTGTCGGAATTTGCCATCTTGCCCGTCAACGCCGTTTCTCCCATTACCCATGGATGTTCCAACATTTGATGTGCGGTGAGACGAGCCTCGGGTTCCCATTGCATGAGCTGTTCAATCAAGGAAATGGCCGAATCGGAGAGGTGTGCCGTGAGTGGCGAATTGCGGAGTGGCGGTGCTTGTCGACTAACGATTTTTTGTTCGACTTCGTCGTCCGTGGCAGTTCCATCCAAATCGAATGGGTGTACACCGGTCAGCATAATGTAGAGAATGACACCCAGCGCCCACATGTCAAAGGAGGGATCAATCTTATTGTAGAGCGCAAGGCCGCGCTTCTTTCTCAACTCCACATCGAGTATTTCTGGTGGACAGTACGCCTATCGATCGAGAGAGACAGCAGAAGCATAAGCACGACGTTGATGCATGTGGAGGGGTCTATCGTGCTGTTGTTGTTGTTGGCTGCTTACCGGAGTGTTGGCAATGGTGTTGTCGCCGTGAACAATGGACTGTTCGGCTGCCGTTGGTGCATCCTGCCCTTCCATACGCTCCTGGTCGCCTTTGGTGACTTGAGCGCACCCAAAGTCGACAATCTTAATGACAGCGTGGAGTGGATTCTCCGAACTGAGCATGAGATTCTCGGGTTTCTGTGTGTCATTGTTGGACAAGCACGTCAGATTAGATGAGGTCTACGCGTTGGATCATCAACCAACGACAAGCTGCAAGCCAACGAGACAACTGACTTACCAAGTCGCCATGGACCAAGCCAATGCCATGACAAAATGCCAAGGCCGATGCCACTTCTCGAACCAATCTGGCGGCATCTGCTTCAGAGTAAGCTCCCTGTTTCGATAGGTGACAGAGTGTGAGTGAGCATGTCTTTGTAGTTCAGCGTGGCCACTCTATTTTCCCTTGTCTGACTCACATTAGCACAGAGATGATCAAACATCTCTCCACCTCCTACTAAATCTAACACGAGATAGTAATATTCCCCTTCCTCAAAGTTTTCTCTGAGAGCACAAATATTGGGATGACCTCCTTGGGCCCGAATGTGCATGAGGGCATCCATTTCGCATTGAAAGTTCATGTCAGAAGTGAATTGTTTGGGAATTTTTTTGACGGCCACACCTTCTCCCGTCTTGCGATGACGAGCCAACAAGACTTCCCCAAAGGCCCCGTCGCCCAACGGATTGGGATCCACCATGTACTTGCTCTCCAAAGTCTCGCGCGTCTGGGTTTTCTTCATCCGTTGAAGGGTCCGACGACGAGCCAAGCGACTGAAACGGTGTCCTGTCGCATGTTGCTGTGGCATCAGGGCTTCGCAGGATGTTGTGGTAAGAACAGGTAGTGGTAATAACCGAGGCCGCAGTAACAGCGGTTGTTTGGTGGACGACACGTCTGGCTGCTGTTGTTGCTGTTGCGGTGTCTCTGTCTCGGTGCTTCCGGTGACGGCCACGGTCGCTGCGATGGCCACAGCCGCCGCCGCAGCCGTCATCTCTGTGGAGGACCGTGCCGCCACAGCTCTGGTCAATGTCGAGGCAAACTTGGAACCAAACATGGCTGGGCAATGACCAATGAAATACTGTAGCAAATATGTCAACCAAAGAGACTCTGTAATCTCAACGGCTAGCTAGATGAATGAGACGCCTTCTGTATATCTTTCGCGGAGTGTCTTTTGTTTGCGAAGGCTGGCAATGATGTGAGAATGATGGTGAGAATGCGTTGGTCGTCGTCAATGCGAAACTGCAGGGTCGCTTCGCAATGCCGATGGAATGCAACTTTTGATGTGTTTCTGTCAATGAGGTGATTGCTTTTCAGGCACCGCTCGGCAGCTCGGCAGTCCCAAAAGCGTTCCTTTCGGTAAATGGGAACCAGTGCCTGCGTTCGCCAGGCTGACGAATGCTTACAGTACCTTTGACTGTGTCTTTGACTGTTTGGCTTCTGAACATTTCAGCGATTACAACACTAAATCCTTTGTGTTAAATGAGAAAACCTTATCTTAAGTCATTTATTGCATGTTTATAGCCCATTCAAACCTGTGATGATTGACATTTTACTTTCCCACAATTAAACCATTGAGACGGTAGAGTATGCGCACTATGATGCGTAGGTGTAGGGAGTTTTACCTACAGGTTGTACGTTCTGTTCTGATGACCCACACGCTTCTTTGCCAGATGGCTTTCAATGGCTTTCCATTTGCCGTCCTGAACCACGGCACTTTTGTGATGTTTCAGACATGGTGGAATCTTCGTGCCACTTCACTTCTCCATTACAAGACTCACAATAGAAATTTGGATGGCCACGATCACACCCATTGGTTGACTCTTTGTCTGGGCCTACAAGATCCGACATTGAGCGGAACCAAAAGGTTTGGCGGGGCTCCAGGTGGAGAAGCTTGGCTTTCATGGGCTCTTGGCTGGCTGGAGCTAGCACTAGCTACATGTAGCTTTTAAAATTGAGTAGCTGGATTTGGCAGTTGAAGCAAACTTCTTGATGGGTCCTTTTGAGTGGAGGGAAGCACAAAGAACCTGCTACACGTACGAAACTAAGCTTGCTTCCTCCAAAACACAACATGACAAGATCTTATTTTATTACACCTTCAAACAAGCACTTGAAGTGAAGGGGAAGTTCTTTGGTTGGCTGTTGCTGCGGCTCGAATCTTAGTGGCTTGTTTTAGGGGCAAGCAAAGTGCTTGAGAAACCAGGCATCTAAAAGACTAGTAGCCCGCAAAGACAGCAGCTAGCATAGAATCTGTCTAGAGAATCATCTCAGGTGTGAAAAAAGTCAGATTGAAGGCAGCGAAATCATGGGGAAGCTTCATTCTGCAGACTTGTCCAGGCAGATTTGTCCACTGCCTGGCTTCGAAAATACAAACAGGAAGATTTTGGTTGTCAGGTAGATCTTCTCGTGGTGCATTTGCTGGCCACTGTTGATCAAAGCCAGTTTGGTTGAAGGTCTCCATCATTCGAGACTGAGACTCCCAAATCCTCGACTTTTGACAGCTTATATGGCTTATTTACCGTAGCTCAACAGACAACGCTTGAGCCGGGGTGGCAATCCACGTGTCTGTGGCAACTTTCCCTCCTCACTCCAGCCCCGTCATTTTTATAATGGCGGGCAAAGAAAGCAAGGAGACCTTCAGCAGAGGTCAATGATGTACTACTGTATTCAATAGCAGTGATCACTACAGGGTCATGTATCTCATTGTTTGGTCGGCTGCAGTAGTAGCTGCTGTTAGCAAGCTGTCGAGAAACAGTTACCTGTTTGTGAAACCATGGTTGATGCCAAGCAAACCCTCAAAACTACAGGGAATGACAACGCCAAGAAAGATGATGCTGGTGGTGATGAATCCGTTGTGCAAGACGGCGACAACGACAGAGGTGTAGCGCACATTCGAGTGGATTATATTTCCTTTGCCGATCATAAACCATCCAAACCAAAGGTAGATCGCAGGATCTTTCATCCCCTCTATATCACCACGGCAGGCCTCCTAGTTCTTCCCATTCTTCCGCCTCTGTTGGTGATTCTCTTGGTGACCGTATGGGCCATTCTCTTTGTTGCCACTCCAGTATACTACTTTTATTACTATGATCCACTCGACGATGCTTGTGGAAACACCGACGACGTATGTTGCAGATCAGAGCATCCAGATGCTGTTGGAGGAGCATTTGCTTGATTTGGAGTGCCGGCGAGGCACCTGTGGAAGTTCGAACTTTGGTGGATTGGTACTGGTATCGAAAGATGCCATGACCTGGCTTTGGGGGCACGGTCTTTCTGCTTCATCCATTACATTTGGTGTGAGTATCCTTGGCAGCCCTCGGATACCGGTGCCCTTGAAATGAACAGCTGCAATCGCCCAGGACAAGAAAGTATTCAACAACCCTCCCCGCGTCGTTGGTGCTCAATGATGGCCCAGTGAAAACCGTAGCTTTGCAGTATCTTCGGAGGCCGGCGGAGTCTTCAATACAAACCCAGAGCTTGCAAGGAAGGAAAGAGGTCCATCTGACTTCAAAACCAATGGTTGCTTGTCACTGCAGATGGCTGCCACTGACGCCCTACTTCCGAGATCGAGCTGTCGCCTCTTGCACCGCTTCACACTGTAGTAGCAACTCTGGTCTCCTAGTAGTCAATCCACCAAGCAAATAATGCGAACAAGCAAACTCTTTCCAACATGGTTGGGTACCTTAGTGGCCTTCCCAACCCGTAGCCGCCTTCCTCCAGCAGCTACAACATTCCCTTTTTGTACATGTACCAATCACCGTTATGATTATTTGTCTGTCTAGTGATCCAATGATGCCCAGTGCTTGCTTAGTTGAGAGGTTGTCCGTCTTCAAACTCCAAGTCTTTTAGCATATACCCAACTCTACAGTATGATAGAAGTCCGAATCGAATCAAAGCAATGACCAGAACAGTGGCCCGTGGTCTTGTGGTAGGTGATTTGACACTAGTCGGATTTGTGTGGGACCTCCAAGAAGCTTTTGACCTTCTTCCAGTACGGTTGCAGCAAGGCGGAGGTCAGCTTGTTGGCCAGCTCGCCAGCAGAAGCTGGCCTAGCTAGCTAGCACTTCCCCAATATTCAAGGCGCGCTAGCCACATCATCTGCAGTGTGATCACAGATTGCCCTCTAGTAAAGATTTCTGTGGCGGGTCACTGTCAGGCGGTGTCTGATGGTCCAGAGACCATTGGCGCCCGTTGCAAGGCTGCAACAGCTGTGAACTCAATAGGGTCCTTCGTACCGGTACCCTGCCCTGATCCAGCCCGTCCATCGCGAAACCTGCCATCTGACTAGTAGTACATGTAGTTGTTTCAATGGTCTATAAGTTTGACGGTTCACTAGTAGCACATTGGCAACTCCTATGAAACCTTTGGGAAGACCGAGGCAAGCTCTGCGCTCAACTTCCAGCGCCTCGTGCTTTGCCGCTCTTCTTGGGTGACCGTGACCGTGTACGTCTCCGAGTGCCCCGGGGGCTTCGTCGGTCACTTCGGTCCCCATTGCGCCTTCGGCTGCTGCCTCCCATAGTGCTTCGGCTATCGTCTTTCATGGCAGCAGACTCCTTCTCGATTGACGAGGCTGTGACAGGTGGTCGTGGCTGGATCCCGTTGTCTGTGAAGTATTCCACAAACTGTTCTGGAAGTTCTTTGAGACCTTCCGCCGCAACATTGCTGGCGTTGCCTTCAAAATCATCAAAGGAAGCAAAACTGACAATGTCGCGTGAAATGGGCACACCATTCGAGTGTCGCAGCTTTCCTCCGTTCGCTATAACTTTTCTGATTGTAGTGAATGCCTCCTCGTTTTCACCAACTCCTATAATCACAATCGAGAGTGGCGCGTCCTCTGCAGCCGTACAGATAGTGTCAATCGTATCCCGCAGGTCATCACCAATGTTGCCCGCCGTCAGAATGCACAAGACACTGTAACAGTGTTCCTGCTCTGACTTTTTGATGGCACGGTACATTGCGGACTGAATGACAGGTGCAATGTTGGCATCGTCGGCGGGTTCCATGTACAGCGGATTGCTAGTAAAGGTGGTATCGTAAGCGTCCAACAGGCCACTGGCGCCATGTACGGTGCCATCCGCGTCTCCCACGGGAAATAGCGACACTGCTTCTCCTCGAATGTCTCCACCAAACCCCCAGATACTGAATTCCTTGTCATTTGAATAGGGTTCCATAATGGCTCCAACCTTGTGGATTGCTGCTTCATAATCATTCAGCCAGTGTGGCCCCGGTCGGTGGTGGAGACCTCCTTCCACTTCTGGGTCGTCGTTGTGGATGGAGCAGTCAACGGCAACCATCAAGTCAATCTTACAGCCACCATAGATGTACTCCATCATGGTCGGAACGGGCTGAAGCTCGGAACGCAGCACTTTGAGGCTCCCCTTCTTTTTGATCTTGTCGCGTCGAAAGAGTCGCTTGTGTTCTCGTCGAATGTCCATCACTGGAATGCCCCGTTCCGCTCCTTCCACCAGTTCCTGGACGGTGGTTTCAACAAAACCCAGAGCTTCTGCTTGTTCCGACCGTCTCCAGTCCCAAAAGGTAATCCGGAGCGGATTGGCCATGTCATCGTTGCAAAGCACCGGCAACGGCAAACGAGCCTTGGCCCACGTGGGAGCATCGGTGCGCATGAGCACTTCGGATTTGTAAACGGCATCCCATGACTGGTCTTCTTGGTTGAGTTTGAGGATTTGAAAGTAGGGATCATCTTCCTTTTCAATGACACCCTTGTCATTCTCTCGCAGTCCAATGGCGGAAAAGCGAAACTCCATGACGGACCGAGCGCTGGACACTTCATTTCCTCGAATGGTCAAGAAGGATTTGTCCCCCTTGCCAGTCGCGTGAGAGCGCAAGGGGCGACGCAGTTCTCGTCTTCCTTCTCCCATGAGTTCACCCATGGTGAACACGGCTCCTCCCAGGAAGTCATGCTCCTTGAGGTCTTCGCAATAGTCCAAGTCTCTGTCATAGATTCGAATGACATAGGTTTGTTCTTCTTGGAACTTGAAATCAATGACAAACAGTTTGTCAAAGTGTGGATTGCGGTTTCCTCGGACCACCTCGGTCCGACCTACTTCCTTTTCCGAAGAGGTGGGCAGTCGGTTCACTCTGGGTCGTTTCCTGCGTTTGCTGTTGGCAGATGATATGGAAGACAGACTCATGTGGCCGGCACTCATTCCGAGGCTGGAATAGGACTCGTCTCCACCCATTTTACCAATCTGTCCATCACTGCCATATCCATTGGGTACCTTCCACAAGACGGCAAAGGCATCACACTCGGCAAAGGCATCTTTGCGGCGCAGATTCTTGCATTCGAGGACCAGTTCCACTTTGGTGACGGGAGAAGTGACGCGGGTCTTCCATGCCGCAGCGGCCACGACTTCATTGCGTTTTAGCGTGCGTGCGGCTAGATTGTTGATTCCCTTGATTCCGGTTTCGGCTAGATGAATGGCGCCAACGGCTCCCTTGACGACGGCCGTTCCATTGAGATTGCTGACGGCACCGACCGTCTTGTTGCCCACGGATTTGGCGACTCTGGTTGTTTTCTTGCTGACAATCTTGGTGGCCTTTACGGTTCCCTTGCCAGCAACTCCCACTCCCTTTTTCACGCGTTGTCCCACTTTTTGTCCCACCGCGGCCGTGGTAGCCAATGCCGTCTTGGAGAGCATGGTCTTGTCACTGGTGCGACGACTGCCCAGCGAGGGACGATCCATGGCATCCTTGCTGGTGGGTAATTTCAGTGTGGCTTTTTGATTGTTGTGGTTCTTGTTGGATGACGACGACTTGGGAGCCGTGTTGGTGCGAGTGGGGCGATTGGGAGAGGAGCTGGACTTGGTTCGACCGTGGGTGTTGGTGTTGTTGCCCAGTAACCCCGTCAGAGACTCGTCTCGGGGTTTTGATCTTAGCATGGTGTTGGTTGTTGTTAGTGTTGTTTGTTTGTTTGTTTGTTTGTTTGTTGGGATGAGAACCGTTGGATTGACTATTCCTGATTCTCAGTGTTTTGGTTTATGCTGCTTGGTGCAGCGATTGGAGGCTTCAAAACGATGATGATGTTGATGACAACGATGCTTAGGGTATTGGAAGTGGGTCGTACCAACCGATCTTTGCTTGGTCGAGTGGACAGGGTGACCAACTAACTGGGTTCTGGTCTGTGTGGAGTCCATGTACAGGGCTGCATCGAAAAGTGAGACGCTCTGTGCGGTTTCCTTGCTTGCTCATGGTCCCTTGGTCTCTTGCCTTGAAAGACGTCAAGACTGAAAGTCCATGAACCAGTGGTGTAATTCCGGTGTCTTTAAACCTTCCGTTTCAGAGTTGAAAGTGCTCTTGGAGGCTTAACACCACCATGAATCAAGGTCTTTGGAGTGAGTCCATTGTCCATTGTTCCTTTCACGCGACCAACTTTTTGCTTTGACAGAAGTGGGACTGGGATTGTTCCACGTATCATACATGTAGTTTGCAGTGGCTTCTCAATTCTCAACTTCTTGTCGAGCAAGCCTCGGAAGGTAACGGTACTGGGCGAATAATAATACATGTACGTGAGAGGAAAAGGCTGAAAGAAAAGTCAGGATTATATCACAGAGTAACTCACCCCGCTCTCGCCTAAGTAACTTTCTGTTTTCGTCCACCTGACTAAAACATGTTTTCGTCATCTTGACTAAAACTAACATTGACCATCCTTCCCAAATCATGTTTTAGTCAACAAGGCTAAAACCTGTTTTAAACCTAAAGACCGAAACGTGTTTTAGTCAACAAGGCTAACACCTGTTTTAAACCTAACGACCGAAACTTGTTTTAGTCCGTAAGACGAAACCAAATCGACGCTTGTTCGCGTGGGTTTTGCCAGCCAAATGCCAGCGAAATGGTCATAATTTCATTTGGATTTGGATTCACTCCACAAATCAACCCACATCCACAACAAGAACAACCTCCCACTCCATCCACAGCCAAATCTCCACATCTATCCCCCCTCTGCACTCCCCACAGCCCAAGAAGACACACAGAGAGTCTCCTTACCATCACTGCCACTACTCCAGCACAGATCTCTAGCTGGAAAGAGCCCAAACACAAGGAACAAGCCTGTAAGTGCCCGGTGCAGTTTTTCACACGTTTTCGTCGTACCGACCAAATCATGTTTTCGTCGTATTGGTTAAAACATGTTTTCGTCGTACCGACCAAATCATGCTTTCGTCGTATTGGTTGAAACATGTTTTCGTCGTACCAACCAAATCATGTTTTCGTCGTATTGGTTGAAACATGTTTTCGTCGTACCAACCAAATCATGTTTTCGTCGTACCGAGCAAAGCATGTTTTCGTCGTATTGGTTAAAACATGTTTTCGTCGTGTGGGTTAAAACATGTTTTCGTCGTGCTGCCCAAAGCTTGTTTTAGTCGTCCCTACCAAAAAATTGATTCCTTCCTGTGATTATCTTAATGTTGAGGAATATTTCTTGATCCTTGTTGTTGACTCATACTCTTTCTCTTTTCTCTTCCTGTTCATTAGACTGACTGCCGATTGACATTATGTCTACTTCAAGGAAGGGCAAGGGTGGTCGTGGCAAGCAGAACAAGTCTCCACAGGCAAAGTCCAGTGAGAAGTCCGCCAATCAGAAGGCTAGCATTCTTGATAAGAAAAGGAAGAATGTTATTGGTGCATCCTATGCCACTCATTGCTACATGATCGGAGATCAATTGATCCCATTCAAATGGTACTTTGATGATGCGCCAGCACCTCAGCTTAATCCTCCCGAAGAACCCATGCCTCCCGAAGAACCCATGCCTGAACTTGGTGCTGTTGACAATGGCGAGAGACAAGAGACGAAGTACACTCAGTTCCTGAACCACAGCAACGCTTCCTTCTATCACCGATATTGTTTATTGGAAATAGCAAACCCCGATACTTGTGCGGTGTACCATCTCTTTTTGTGGGGGAGAATCTTGGTCTTGAGAAACTCCTCAAGGTACCTCGAGTTGTGACAGAGTGCTGATCTTATGTTGTGCTCTTTAGCATTCCTGCGGGGTCTGTAAGTCCTGAATTGAGTGAGCCAATGCATGCAACGCTCTAATGACTTCTGAAATTCCATCTCATTTTCGACTCCACCAGACATCATCCATGTGTAGACCCATTCAATGAAGGTCTCCTTTTGGTCTTTGCATAGTGGCTGGTCCATCATCATCATCTTGGATCCACATCCATCAATTGGTTTCCTGACCAAGTGAAAAACACAAAGACCATGGACTGCCTGTGGGTACAAGAGGGGCTGATTTGCATCAAAAGCATTGTAGATTTTGCTGTCTCCATCACTGAGAACCAACTGGATTCTTGCAATTGCACTTTTGCCAAGGAGCAATGGCAATGCAGTGCTAAAGGTATAGTCAAATGTCCAGAAGCATTGGTTGCTTGTAAATCCTCTTACAGGACTAAAAATCTGCATCTCTGGACCAATGCAACAGGTAACAAACAAGGGTCTTCCTTGATTGTTGGTTCCCATGGTGACGTCCACCATCATCACCTCGGGATACATTTCAAACATCTTCCTCTCATCTTCTCTGCACCAGAAGACTGCCAGAACCACCTTTTTCCCGATCATCTGCTGCCTCCTAACCTCATCCTCTGCCTGATCCATGAGAATTGCAACCATTGCTTCTCCAAGACCAAGGAGATCTTTGGTAGTCTTGAGCTTCAGTGCTTTCTTTGATGTGTTGCCATTCTCATCTTGTGTCTCTGCATATATGGTGACTGGCTGTGCTTCTAGCTGAGGATCTGGTTCTGGGTCGCTGATCTCTGGTGAGCGATGTCCATACTTGTCTTGAGCGATGTTAAGTGCTTTCTTCCTCAGCTCATACTTGTCACATGCAAGCAAAGTTGTACTTGACACTTCATGAAAAAGTGCCACATACCTCATCTTACGATCGTCTACTTGCACCTTCAGGTATTGAATCAATTCCTCAGCCTGTGTTTTTGGTGCTCTATTGGGATTGCGACCCTCAACCTTCTTCCTGTTGTAATCCAATTGCGCAGCAGTTACTTTTGCTCCAGTGAGCTCCTGTGTGAGAGTGACTGCAGCTCCAGAATGGGTCAATTGACTGAATCTCGCAGCTTGCTTCAATTCTTCTTTGGAAAAGGATGACAATGGCCGATTCTGTTCTGAAATTGGAATCCTCTTGTGATTGTGACAACCTTTCGACTTTTCTGTGAATCTAATGTACCAGTGCTTTCCTGGAATTAGAACAAGGAGGAATCGGAAGGGACATTTTTTCCCACTAGGTGGGAGCTGAGTATAAGTCCTCTTGGCTTCGCTTCTGCCGTGATGGCGGTTGGCTGCATCTTTGTCCACAAGTCTGTCCACACGAATGTTATCCTTGTACAGATCAGCGGCTTTGCTGTTTGCGTTCTCTTTTCCTTGGTAAGCGATCTTGTCTCTATAACTCGTGGAGTACTTGCAGCCAATGTAAACATTGTACCTTTCACCAACCTTCTCTGTTTTGATCACTTTGATTTGTGTATCCTCTTGCATGGCTGCTTCATTGATCCTCTTCACAAGACTTTTGTGGTAGTCAAAGGAGGGTTCATAGACATCTTTGGGAAGGATAAGTTCTCCACCAAGTGATTTGGAGCCAAAAGCTGTGTCATACTTGAAGACTTGACACAAATTGATCTTATCTTGCCCTTCAACATTGTCCAACAGAATCTGTGATGGTCTCCATGAGTGCTCCCCCTCCTGCAAATCCCCATGGAGGACTGCTGGTGGCAAGTTGGCCATAGGTTTGATCGAGTTGTTTTGTTTGTTGATGTTGCCTCAAAGCGTGTTGTGTGTGCTGCTGAAAAAGCATGTTTTGGTCTCAGAAAGAAACAAGGTAAGCGAAACTTTGACAGAAAGAAAGAAAGAGGAGCCAAGCCAAATTTTCGTCTTTCTGACCTGTTTCTGTGTTTTGGTCGTCCGGACTAAATCATGTTTTGGTAATTGGGAATAAAACGCGTAATAGTCATTAAGGTTAAAACAAGCTTTAGTAAATCGGAATAAAACAAGATTTAGTAAATCGGAATAAAACAAGCTTTAGTAAATCGGAATAAAACATGATTTAGTAAATCGGAATAAAACGTGTTTTAGTCATTAGGACCAAAACTTCAGTTGGGTTTGCAAGCGGGGTGAGATACTCTGTGTTATAATCCTGATGACCACACAGATTTGAAACCCAGGACTTCGTGAAGGGCGAGTTTGCAAAGCCAGCCCTTGCGTTGTACTGGTATTTGTAGGAGTGTTGTTAGAGAAGGCACGGCCGACAACTGGCCAACCAACAAGTTCTCCAAGAGGCTGTGGGGCAGCAGCTGAGACGATGCGTGAACCGCACCCAATCCCAGACGTGGATAGGATGACGAATGATCAATCGAACTCAAGAGAAACACACAAAGCATTTGTCATTCGCCACCTTCCTCATCCCCCACATACCTTGAGCTCCAAGCAAATAAATCAGATCACAGCACTACCGCACTTCAAGCGAAAAAATTACCACGCAAGAACAGAAGGAAGGTAGCGAGGGAAGGATGGAAAAGCTGGAACTCCTGCCTGGACCAATCGACGGTCGGGGAGATGCAACACCGACAATAGCTTTTGTGCTTCGCGGATTTCTCTCACACGAAGAATGTCAGCACTACATACGCCTCGCTGAAGCACGGGGACTAGAACCCTGTGAATACGACCCCAAAGTGCGCCAAACCGAGCGATTAGAACTCCAGTCCGAAAGCATTGGATTGCTCTTGTGGCGACGCGCCAGAGAATTCTTGGAAGACGACATCGTGCTCAAGAAGAACGCCATTCCAGACGATGGCGGCTGGAGAGAGGGAATTCCACGCAACACACCCGAAGGAACATGGATACCCACACGAGTAAACCAACCCATTCGGATCTGTCGATATCAACCGGGAGGCTTCTTTCTGCCTCATCATGATGGCACTTGCCACCATCACCCCACCGACGAACGTTCCCTCCAAACCATCATGGTGTATCTCAATGATGACTTCCGAGGTGGACCCACTCAGTTTTACAGCTCCAAGCAACGCCACTACTGCCCAGGAGATCCGGCCAACAGAATTCACTCGTTTCAACCACAAACGGGGGATGCCCTGATCTTCTTTAGTGCCATCACCCACGACGGTGGAGCCGTGACTGAAGGCCAAAAGTATATTTTGCGCAGCGAAATCATGTATCAACGCAAGCAAGACGATTTGATAAGTCGGGCTGTTGAGCCGGATCATGACGACACAATAGCGCTTGTTCCGGACGTAGACGGAGGTTTTGACTATCCGAGTGATGACGACGAGGAGGAGGCGGAGTAGACTGCCTTGGTCAACTAGTAACTCGCTAGCCTATTCATTCGTCAGTTTGCCACCAGTACGTTAATTGATAGTCCAGTGGACCTTATGAGCTAGTGCTATTCCAACAAGTACAGTTACAGCCACAGAGGAGGCTGGTACAGTCAAATGACAAACCCTGTATCATATCACATTCATCCCATGCATTTCCAACACAGGTACCATTGAAGTTGCAAACAGCTTCAGGAATTGTACCAGATAAGAGTGGGTTCCCTTCCAAGGTCAATGTATGGAGTATCGGCTGAAGAGCAGACAACTCATATGGCACCGTGCCAGAAAAAGAATTATTGGCAAATGTAAGATGGCCGACAGATGAAAGTTGGCCCAGTTCACTGGGAATTTGGCCAGACAACAACTGGTTTCCTTGCAAATCTAGCTCCTGAAGCCTTGACAAGACCCCAAGCTCTGTTGGGATGGTTCCGGAAAGTGAATTGCCACGCAGGTTGAGTGTAATTGTAAGGTTGGTAAGGAGTCCAAGTTCGCTTGGAACAGTCCCGTGAAACCTGTTGCCACGAAGTGTTAGCGTGGTCAATAATGTAAGTTGTCCCAACTCTGATGGGACGGTACCATGGAACAGGTTGTTGCGAGGTGGGAAAAGGGTTAGGCTTGAGAGAAGACCCATCTCTGTGGGCAGTGTGCCGGTGAACTTGTTGCTATTCATTGTGAACATATGGAGTTTCCCAAGCTCGCCAAATTCAGAAGGAATGCTACCTGTTTTTTCACGGAGATGTGTGGAGTGAGTCAATTGAGGAATTTTGCAAAGGGGCCAAAAATCAACCATTTAACCTACCAGAAAGGTCACACCGATCTAGGATAAGAAATGTCAACATGGATAGCCTTCCAATCTCTGCTGGGATGGAGCCCTGCAACTGTGGGTGCACAGGCAAAATTAGATGAGAAAGATTGCTCAGCCTCCAAATGTCCATGGGAATGTGTCCTTGAAAACCACAGTTTCGACATTGAAAGACTTGAAGGTTGGTCAACAACCCAACTTCCGAGGGGATTGCTCCAGTGCCCTTGATGTCAGAGAATGCAATCCCGTGCAGTGCTGTTAGTTGCCCAACAAATGTAGAGATTTCACCGTGTAATGAGTTAGAGACACCAGACAATGTCTGAAGGGATGTCATCATGTAGATCTCTTGGGGCAATGCGCCCACAAGATTGTTTCTGTTCAGCCACAAATGTTGGTATGTACCATCATCATTACAATGGTGGTGGGGCATTGGTTCCATGTAGCCAGCAAGAAACTCCTCATAGATGTTTGATATGACTTCTTTGTTGGCAAAATCAGGTGAGTTGTACCATTCACACTCATGTATTTGGTGGTCAAGCCAACTATCATTATTGGTCCACGCTTCTCCTCCAGTGGAATAGAATAGTGTGACAAGGGCAAACCTTTGCATGATGCGGTCTTCTGGCAGAGAGACTGGAAATTCCATATCTTCCAACAGCCACTGCCAGGCTTTGGATTGAGGAGAATCGGTCTGCTCGGTGATGGCCAGAATGGTTTCTCCTGGTAGTAGAGACATGATGTAGTCATCAGAGGATGTGGGCATTTGTGAAGACATTTGTGAAGGCATGGCGCTTGGTGTTGCTTCCCATGTAAGTGTCATGTTGGCTCCTTCGTTCTTGGGAATGAGAATCACCAGCATTATGATCAAGAATATGAAGATAACTGCTGCCAGTATGACTTTCATCAAAAGCCGTTTCATGAAGTCTTTTCTCAAGAGGGATGAATCCATGTCTAATTCTTCAGCCTGGGGCAGATCCTCCGCTACCAGATTTGCCACAACCAACCCGCTACTGTCCTCCACAGTAGAGATATCTTCAGCCGCTGTATTTGATTCAGTAGAATCGATTTCAACATTGGTTTCTTGTATGCCCGGACCAGCAACAGCGATTGCTCCAGGCTGTATCTGCAGCTCAATGTTTGGCCCTTGGGCAAGTCTTGGTGGAGCACAAGCAAACTCTTCATCCATCTCATCCTCTTCCAAGGCTGATTCATCAGTTGGCTCCCATTTTCTATGCGGTTCTTGCAGGAGATTCAAAATGGAGCGGTCTTCAAGGTCATTTTCCTCTTTGTCCTTTGCTTGGAGTTCTTGTGGCAGATCTTCCTGATCCATTACAGCCACTGCCAAGACATCTAATTGACCAAGGGCCGAAATGTTGTTGGCTGGGCTCCAATGGTAGGACGGATCAGTATTGCTACCGGTAGGTGGTTGGAAACGTGTGGAAGAACTGTTTGGTGGCACAGTAATAGCCAATGCTTGCCTTGTGCTCTCAGTTTTACCCAATTTCTGTAGCTCAAATTCACTGTTGCTGTTGACAGTAGTGCTCGATACCCGTGGTCGCACCACATGCTCAATGATGTCAAACTCTTCTGATTCCTCTCGGACGTGGAGAGAAGAAGCAGCAGAAGGGTGACCTGCTGCAGACTTGCCTTCCTCAGAATTCATTCTGCTCAACTATCCGAGGTTCTTGCCTCTTGCCTCAATAACTATTGACGAAGCGACGAGTTTTGCTGCTGAGCCTTCCAAAGTTGGTTAGCTGGGGCGTTGGTTGCTATTAATTAACACGGATAAAACGTACCGGTACCCTCCTTAGTGTTGTCAAAGCAACGTCGATATCAAGCAGCAATGATTTTCGAAGCGGTTGACCTTTCACAAAACAAATTTATGAGGACCCTCGCTCCCTCGCTACCAAATCGCACCGAATCGAATCGCATCCGCCGAATTGAATGAGAATCATTTGAAGTACATGTAGATTTAATTAATTGATCCTTTCCCCTCTTCCGGAAAGCCGTTTGCCACAGCAGATTCACCTGGTCGGAAACGAATTTTACTTAAAGGACACTATGGTTTTAAGGTTAGAGTCCAGACGAGTTCCGATTTGTCAACGGCGAGCCGTCGGAGTACATGACATTGTATGTATTAATAAAATAAAATAGCCTAAAGGATTCAATCATTCGTACGACTGTACTAGTAGAGTACGACTGTACAGTCAAATCTCACGGAGAAACTACTCCCCTAGTAGCTTGCCTACATGTACCAGGCAGGACGTCGAATCAACGGCAAAGCAAAGTTTTCTTCAACAGCACCTTGAGGTATTCCACTCAAATTGAGTCTTTTCTCCTTTTTTCAAAAACATTTTCTTCAAAAATATGTTCCCCAGACTGAAAAGGAAACAGCCTATTTAAGCTGACCAATCTGAATCTGAATTTTAAGAGCCTGGTTAGGCTCTTAAAATTACAACAGGCTCTTAGAATTCAGATCTGAAAAACCAGATTGAATATCTAGCTAATTTACACTGGGATCTGAGTTTTCAATTTTCCAATCTTAATTCTAAGAGCCTAAATAGGCTCTAAAAGGCTCTGAGAATTCAGATTCAGATTATTCAACTTCAACAGGCCTTGTGGAGTCCTGCATGTCTCTTTGCTTCATTTTACATTTTCTGAACAATTAAACTTTGAGCTTTTTCTTCCATTTGGAGGAAATTACCCCAAGGTGCAGAAGAGCAAGAGTTACTGTGAGTGTCGGCTGCGTAGAACTAGTTCAACCGTGCGTGAAACAGTGAACTATCATTACGGTATATCACAATTTTAATTAAATCTTGTGTGAAACTAAACTGCCGTTGCGTGAAACTTCTTCCAGTTCACGTGAAACTATTAGTCGTTCATCGTAGACTGCTTATAACAGTGCGTATTTTCACGCACTGGTACCCGGTAGTTGGATTCGGGGACAGTGGCACGCAAAGGTTTTACACCGCTTCCGGCACCAGCTCACAGTTCTTTTGCTTTGGTCGACGTGCAGACCAATGAGGTTCCAAATTCGTGTCTTGCCGACAGCGGTTGACACTCTCCTCGCATCGTTGTTCTCGTGTGGTCGTCATTGGAGAAGAAGATGTCGTCGTCGGATGTTGAGATTCACGAGATTGCTGGGTATTCCAATGATGCAATCAGCACCTTCTTCCAGATGTTGAAACAAAAGCAACTGGCCTACGAAAACGCGGACGAACACGAAAACGTCGAGCTTCCGAAAGTGCTTCTGAATCTCGGTTGCCTCGATGAGCTTCTTGACGACGATGACCAGAACTACGTTTCGATCATGAATGGATTGGAAAGTGTTGCAGATTCCGGCATAGTTTGGGGGGTCAGGTTCGATGGCAGTTTCTTGGACAGTAGCATCTCTCGTGGCGACCTCGACCGCATGACGAACACCATCGCGTCAATCCCATCGTTGACGAAGATCGAGTGGGACGTCGAACGAGATCACGAGATTGAACACGAAGACTACATCGAAATCGTCACCAACATGCTCTTGCGTACGAGCAGCCTGGAGACATTGGAATGCAATGGATTGCGTCTTGCCGAGACTCCAAACGAGATTGAAAACTTCGCAGACTCCATTCGAGGAACCACCACGTTGAAGGAGGTAAAGTTCACCGGAGGACTCTTCAACTCCAGTTGCTGGACTATTCAAAATGTCGGCCAAGTCCTTGAGTCTCTTGCGGCCTTACCGCATTTGAAGAAGCTCTCTTTGGTTGGCATGGTGCTGAAACGACCGTCATCCATCGATTCTCTGTCATCAACCAATTCATCTTTTCTGAAGATTTTCGATCACCCAGGCCTCAAAACATTCCATCTACCATCGACGTACTGGGTTGACGACACGATACTCCACTCTATCTCTTCTGGCTTGCTGACGAGCCCCGCTATTTCGGATTTGTCCCTAGTCACTCCGCTGGGCGCCAACGAGTGCCACTTGTTGAGTGAGATCATTCGGTGCAACCACGTTCTCAATGCACTCCGTTTGTACACGCCATGCATTGGGCAATATTGTCATGTGCTTCCAATCATTGACGCTCTCGAGGCGAATACAACTTTGAGGACTCTGTTGATTGCGACAATGGATTTCCAGTCTGGAGTTCCATTCTTCTACGACAGCGATACTCACGAAGCTTTTCTCTCGATGATTCAACAAAAGAATTATGCATTGGCTGGTCTCAGATTCCTTTCATTTGACGTTCAGGCGCCTTCCACACAGAACCACCTCGTGGACCATGAGATCAACAAGAAGATTGCGTTCTATGCCAAACTGAACCTGGAGGGACGCAAGGATCTGCTGCGCACTTCAACGGCTTCGATTGATTTGCTTGCTGAATACTTAATCTCAAACAGTGACGACCTGGACATTCTCTTTTACTATCTTTCCATGGTGCCTGGCCTTCTCTTTGGGTAGAGCGGGATGGAATAGTTCCATCGGTTGTCACAGCACCGACAAGTACGAGAACCCACACACGCACCGAGCAGACGCAACGGGGGTCCAACTCGACGCTGGCGTTACGAAAAGCAAGGTACGGTACACGTAAATTCCATAAGTCAAAAGTTGTGGCTACAAGCCTTCATCTACAGGAAGGGTCTGCTCGTCGCCGACGATGCAGCACTGACAACGCATCGTACGACTGCCACCTAGTAGTTGACATCTCCGCCCAACCATGAATATTCGTTGTGCTGGAGGAAGCAACTGCACAGAAAGCCCGAAAGGTGCTGGTATGTTACTCATCCTCACGAAACACCAATAATCCCCATGGACATCTTGTGATATCAAACAAGGGAAAGCACCGTTTCCATCTTCGCTGCTGCAAACCGAGGAGACAATGTTGAACCGTACTTTGGTCAAAGTTGTTGCGTAAATGAAAATTGAAGTTCAAAATGTAGATTGGTTTGCATCACACCCTGACAACCCGAGGTCACAATTCTACCTACTGCGGAGACTGTTGTCCTTTTCGCTGGCACGGAATTCCTCAAAAGTGTACCAAACATTGTCTATTGCAGCAGAATGTTCTTTTCATCTAGGCATGAAGTTCGTAAATCTCCATAATGGACATGTGCTTGTCCATCGTTGGTCTTTTGTTGGTTGATTTTGGCCTTGCAAAGGGGATCATGTGTTCCACGTCCCAAACACTCTTCACCAAGTTACCACTGCTGTTCCCCAAGCGGCTCTGCTCCATTTGTCCTTGACTCCCACTGCTTTCCCCCACTCTGTCACTGTCATCCGTCATGAGAGCGAGCATTGCAGACCTGCCACTAGGTCTCCTTGCTGCTGTACTACTTCTCGCCCTGACCACGGACCGAGTACTCCCTTTTCCCAATGACTTGTGTGTTATGCTGGCTTCGCGAGTGAGGACGAGAACTCATACTTTGATCCGGCGAAGATGCTGCTATTGTTGTTGCGTCGTTGCTGGGGACCGCGGCTTCGGAATCAGCTCCACCTGGCATTGTTTTCCTTCTTATTCTGTGGGGCATTTTCAATGTGGGACTTCGTGGCAAGGGAATATTACCAATGATACTCCCCGGGTTCCTTCCGTCCCTACTTTTTCCGCTTCGTGTTCTTCCCGGTAATCTCTTTTTGATACTCGACCCAGTGCCCTTGGATGTGAGCGGCGGTGGGGATGGTTGTTTGTCTCCTGGGGGTCCCGCATGGATCCCACGAGCATCCAAGGATTGTCTTGCCCAGGATCCAGTTCTCCAGGTACACCCCAAGCCATTGAACAGAACGTTGGCAATGCAAACCTTTTGCAAGAAAACATTTTGGTGAGTGGCCGAGGAATGAAAGATTCCACAAAAGCAGTAGTAGAGGATTGTAAATGGGACCACCACGGTCAAGAAGTAGCTCCAAGTCTTGATAATCCATGGGATGGAAAGATAGTAGTAATCAGGACTCACAGCCTCCATCCCAGCTCCGTTTTCCCTGTCTGATTTTTTGGAATTCTTGCCAGTAGGCACTCCTTTTCTCGAGACAGATTTGGGTCCGCCACGATGGCCTCCCTTTCGCTGCGTCGGCTTCATGTTGTCGATGGAACTTTCGGTGGATGTGACAGACGGAGGCGTATCAACCGAGCGATCCGATGACTGTCTCTTTTTTCTTCGTCGAGATCCAACGCTACTTCCTCCGGATTTTCTTTTGCTGCAATTGCCGCTTTTGTTGTTTTTACTGCTGCCGTTGCCTGAGCTGCTCCTTTTTGTGGACAGAGAGCCAAAGAGGTGGTGCTTCTTTCCACCTGCGCTGATAGAAGACTTTCTCTTGGCATTCCCTTTTTCGATGGCTTTCGGTGCCAAGAGGACTTCCAGATCAGGCGTGTCTTCCATAGCATGACCAGGAAGCGTCATAGCAACGTCCTGGTCTAAGTGTACGGCTGCCCTTGAACCGCGACATCTCCCCATGGCCTTTGCGCACTGATCCGCGACGAGTCAGTTCTTGCTGTTGTTGCTTCTTAGTTGTTCTTTTCCTTCGATCGACTTTTCTGTTGCTTGGCCTTTTTCTTTTGTTGTTGCAGCGCCTCTTGTCGTCTTTTTTCTTGCTGTTCTTGGCGCTTCAATAATTGTCATTTCAAAAATTCATACTGCTCTTCTTCTTCATCATCATCATCATCATCGTCGCGACGGTACGAGTCGTCGTCCTCTTCACCGTTGTCGTCGCTTCGCTTATTCACGATGCTCATGCGTTTTCGAATCCGCTGCAACAGCTTTTTCCGACCCCCACTGCCACCACCGCTATAGTCATCTTGATAGTCCTCCTCCTCCTCCTCAAATTGGGAGAAGAACTTTACCATTGTTGGTTGTCGTGTCTTCTTCTCTTTGTACGGCAAGACAAAGGGATGTCTCTTTGGTTCATGAGAGATTTGATAATTTGATGGGTTCACGCCTATTGGTTCTAATCCAGGCTGTAGAGCAGCCGCACTTCTTCTCATGCATCATCTTCACATCCACAACCCCATTGCTGACACTGATTTGGACTGTCCCTCTTACCGCAACAAAGATCCCGTCAAAGTTTTAACCCAACAAGAACGCGACAAAATTTCCAAATATAAAGACGCGTGCGAGTCCAATCGCGCTTCCTTCCACCCCTTTGTTGTTTCAGTGGATGGCATGCTTGCCCCTCAAGCCAAGACTCTCTTACAACGCCTTGCTTCTGCTACTGCCTCCAAAAACTCAATTTTACTACTCTCAAATGATGTTCTTCATGCAGACCCGTATCTCAATTGCCCTTGTGAAAGCTACCCATTTATGTCTCCGTGGATCCCGCAAAGCCAAACCCTTTGCCCCCCGTAATGGTCCTCAATTTCTTGCCCCTGATCCCTCAGAACCTAGTTCTGAATTTCGACTGTTCTTTGCTTAAGCCTGGCCCCGGCTGGCTTCCGTAGATAATTTCCCTACTCTAAACCCCCTTATATATTGCTGTCAGCTGCCTTCTTTCCGATGTGCAAAGGCGAGCGATGTATCCCTAAGTTTAAGATACATATTCTGTTCATGGTTGGAAGTACAGTACTTCTGCCGCGGTCATTCTGGAATGGAGTGTCCAGTGAAGGACTGTGTGGTCCAGTAGGGTTTTTTGAGTGTCGGCTGGTGTTCTAACGGTCTGATTGGTGGGACGGCTTTCATCCGTGAAACAAACGTGATGTTCAATCACTGTATCCGTGGACGGATGAGATGCTCGATGCACTTTGTCTTTACCAGTGAGGCTGATGGAGCCTTCGGTTTTTGCATCCTCATATCCTCAGGGGGCACAATTCCGGGAGATAAACATGAACTATCAGGAGGCGGTCGACCTTGTTAGTTCCAACAGTGAGGCGAGCAACGACGAGGTTGGGTTTGACATCGAGTTCAATTGCACGATCCAGGGTAAACCGAGGCCGCAAGCCAGAGCTAGGAGATACGGCCAAGGTATCTGGGTTAACCCTAATTCTAAACACCAGAAGGAGCTTAAGGCGATCCTCAAGACTCATTGTCGCGCGATCTTGTTTCCGAAAGGGACTCCGGTGCGGGTTGAGCTTGGTTTTTATCTTCCTAGACCTAAGGCGCATTTTAAGAGGGGGGTTGGAGTAAGATGCAAGGAGACATTGACCCATCTTGGGATTCTGCAGACGACACCTGGAACAGGTCCTGACATCGATAACCTTGCAAAATTCGTCTTGGATGCTATGAACGGGACTGTCTACGAAGATGACAAGCAGGTTGTGGTGCTAATCGCTTCCAAGCATCGGGATAGTGATGGGACGATGGACGGACGGACCGTCATCACAGTCAAGAGGTATGATGACCGTTATCCGAGAGACTCGGTTGTCGTTGACTAAATTAATATTTCTAGCACTACTCGCTACCTCGTGGCTGCTAGCTAGTTTTCTATCACAGCAGTAGAGGCTGATCCGGTTAACCCTAGCCTTTGGCACAGCTGGGATCGGGTGTTCTTCAAGTTCTTTGTTTGGAGTAGGCTGCAGCCCTCCATGGCAATTAACATGCATCCGTCTACGGAGACTGGTTGGTCCAAGTCCTCCATGGAATCGTCGAATTCAGCAACATTGTAGTTTGGAAACCATGTTTTCACAGAAACCTCTTCATCCTCATGGATTAAACAGCATAGCTGGAGCAAGCCTTGCCTATGATTATAGGCAATAAAACCTTCAGTTACGAACTTGCGTTGCAGGAACCTTACGAGGGTTGTATAATCGGGAAGCGTAGCGCATAAACTGGTTATTATCCACATAGTTTGTTGGAGGGAGGGGCTGAAATTATGATCACGTGTCACGGAATGCTGGTTGAGGAGCGGAGCCACTGAAAAAAATTGCGGCTTGGTGATATGTGTACTGTACACCCGCTCGCTCGAATAGTTGGTGGTCTCGCGTTCTTCCGCCGGGTCGGACGTGTCACATGATGTCAATTTCCGTGGCCTCATCGTTTCACTTACTGTGTACTCGCGATCGGAGTACATACTAGCTATAGCTAGTATCCCATTCTTCGGCTTTCAACATTTTGAACCAACTGGACGAAGTTTACCCCACTACTACATGTACAAGTTCTATCTAGTAGTGCTAGTTTGAACTGGAGTAACCACAGAGATCTCGTTGGGGATTGATGTGGAGCCACGGAAGCTGTCGTAGTAGACTTCTTCTGCCTCCTCGTCCAAAATGTCAATGTCCTCCTCATCCTCTGGCGTCCCATTGGCAAGAATGGTGATGTCATTTAACATTCCCCATACAGTAGCAGCCTTGGCAAGCAACAGTGTTGGGTCAGGAGGCGGATGAATGTTGCTTTGACCCACGTTCCCAAAGTCCACAAACAAGACAGCCTTCTCAGGAACTGGAAGGCTCTTTGGAACTGGCACACTGTTTTTGGCACGGAATTCCTCGCTTCGTTTGCTCAACAGATATTGGTTCGAAGGCTGGAGAGGTTTCAAGTCCATGTTTTTTAACTCCTTGACAAACTCAGAAAGGCCCAACACAGCTTGCTCCAAACCCATGCGTGCTTTCTCCAGCCAATCTGCCTTGTCTTCTTGGCTTATTTTGGGGCTGTTTTCGTACTTTTCTCGCAATTCTGAGGTGAAATCAGCTGCTGCATTCATGGCTTGCCAAGCAAACTTCTTACGAGCCGCAGCTGGGACAGTTCCAGCAAAGGCTGCTGGAACGTTGACGAGTCCCTGAGGAAAGCCACACAGGACCACTGCCTTATACCCTTGGCCATTCCAATTGTTGGTGGCATCCTGCAAAGACATGCAAGGGACGATGAGCATGCTTGGCTTAACGCCGTCCACTACTCTTTGTTGTAGCCGCAGGCGGATCTTATTGAACACAAAGTGTACAACACCTGTGCTATCGACGCGTTGCTTCCTTGCGGCACTCGATCTGGTGCTATGAGAAGCGATAGAGCCATTTTCAAACGAAACCCTTCCCTGGTTGAGTTCAGTCCCAGCACCTGTCTTCATATTGCTTTTCTTGTGTTCCATCGTCGCCTTCCCTTTCTTTGCGGGTGGACCTTCAGACTCGCTGCCCTTCATTCGTTTACTTTTTTGGGGGGGTGGAGAATTAGTATTCGACTCTTTTTTTGATCCGCCTCTCTTCCCTTCGCTTCTTGTCCTTCGGGGCGAGAGAGAGCGGGTAGTTGTGCCTCCACCTGGATTGGGCAATTCATTCTGCGCAGCCGCAGACTTTCCGTCTGATGTTGCCATTTCTCCCTTCTTGTCGTCATCGTTTGGATATTCCTTCCTCACTCCACGGGTTGCCATGAGCTGTTTTATGACACTGGCAGTTTTTGGCAACCCCGTGACCGCCGCAGCAACTCCAAACCATTCTTCGTGAACCTTGTATCCAGCAGGAAGCAAGTGTGCTATTTCCTGGTAATCATTCGCTTCATGTCCAAAAATATCCACAGGCCAAATTCCTTTCTTAATGTCAGCGTTGCCGCTCACGCTGTTGGATCTTGTGCTCTTGACGGGTGCAGGTCTTTCCCCTGCACGCAGCGCCTTCCGAGTGATGGCGTAGACGTCACCTTTCTGGACAACAACATCACCCTTACCCTTTCGCCAGAAAGCCTCCCAGTGCTCGGGCTTGGGCTCCGCGTACTCCACCGACCAAACATCTTCGGTGATGCAGAAGAACTTGCCGTCGCGAAAGTCGTCTTTTTGATCATCGTTTAGTTTGCCGTTCTTCTCCACGGCACTCGTAGTTGCCATTGTGATTGAATGCTGTTTTCCTCCTCCCTCTGTGAGCCCTGTTATTATACACTGTGAGTACCTGGTACCAAGTCCTGCAAAATACTCGCCGGTTTCGACCGGTGGTTGCGGTGGTGCGCTGTAGGTACTACACGTGTACTCTGGAGTAGTATTCTTGTACGTCAGTTTCGCTCCTCGCTCGTAATCGTACATACAGTCTACTCGCGCTAATATTTATAATATTATATTTATCCTCGCTGTAATATTTATTAAATCTCGAGGTCCCCCCCTCAGTCCCGGGTATCCGTGAATGAATCTTTCGAGCAGCAACAAATCTTTCGAGCAGCCCGACAAACGTCGTCCAATCCATTCCAACCGTTTCAATTTGACCGAGACAGCATGTAAAATGCCAATATCGATCAATGGAGGTGGGATTCCTCGCACCTCTGCCCGTGCTGTCTTGTCTGGGCCAGCCCAAGCGCTGGTTGTTTACGTGCAGTTTTCGAAGGATGGTTTCGAGGAGACAAAACAATTCTCCTGAGCTGCCAAACAATTTCACCCAAACCATACCAAACCCTCCAATCTGACATAGACCAACATGAACGGCGCCGATTCAACCAACGGCGCCGATTCAACCAACATGAACGGCGCCGATTCAACCGTAACGAAGAAAGGAACGAAGAAAGGAACGAAGAAAGGCGGAAAGAGGGGACCAAAAGCAGGTTCAACGAATGCTACTGGGAAAAAGAACAGAGGCGACTGGGCTCAGGCATGCCACTCCTTCCGTACACAGTTCAAGAACATGCAAGCCAAAGCCTTCCTGCAATCGTCCGCTTCTGGGCCGAAGTTCTCTGGGACACAGTCGGAACGGCAGAGCTTCAGTCAGTACCTGAAGCAATACGACAACAAGACTTTGGTCTCTGCTTTGGGTATCAACCAGGCAGCCACTGTGCATCTTAACAGGTTTGCTAGGGCATTGAATGTGGCTAGAGCTGCTAGGGCAGGCAAACGTAAACGCGACGGCTCTATCCATTCGTACTTTACTAGTGGAACCGGCCCTTGAAAGCCTTATATTTATTCTCTCTAATATATTTATCGAAATCCGCAATCCCCCCCATAAATAATAGAGCGAGTCAACTGTACCACTGCGACACAAGTATGCTCCTCGACGGGCATCGACGAGCGTTGCTTTGGGCGCCCCGGTGCGTCTGACCGTTGGATACGTTGCAGTTAGACGCGCGGGCGTCCGCAGAGAGTGCTACATGTCGCCTCAATCTCATAATTTAACAAAGTTGCTGTAATCAATCAAAAATGACGGTAACCACGAAGCATTATGTTTTCACTATGTTCTTTAATTACAAAGGGGAGGAGAGGGGAAGGGCTGGAGTTATGCGGGATAACACCCTTACATACTTGAAAAGATTGTTTGAGAATCGAGCTCAATTTGCATGCATTGCGAAGGACGAGAGTACGAGCAACTCATGTTTGTTGTTAAGGGGTTACATGAACCTTAACAGTCCTTGCACACAACAACATGCTAAGCGGATGTTGGGAAAGTATAGTAGCTGCAAGCCTTCGTACTTTGGAGATATGGTGAGCTTGTGTCGACTGGTTCACATCGACCGACAGTTGACAACGATTGGTAGGCTGCCCCGTCAGGGAAATACTCTATCGAAGATTAAGAAGACATTTGCCACAGATCCAAAATTTGTAGTTAAAATTTTAGTTGAGTCTATTGAAAGAAAGGACCTTGAAGAACATCAAGAAAGAGAAAACACGAAGGAAGGATTAAAGTAATATTAAACTGTTTTGATCGCCATTCTTCGTCGTTTAACTGAAGCTTTAATATCGTAAGCCCGTCGTATGGCCAGGATCTTTTCAGAAAGGAAGTGATATGGAATGGTTTTTCCTGCCAGCATAGCTTGGTTGTAGCCTTCCAATGGGCACAAAATCTGGATTAATCGCGCACGTGATTCTGGAGGAAGATTGCGCATCTTCTCATGGCTTCCTTTGTATCGGATAGGATGGACTTGGGTTAAGGAGCCGTCGATGTATTTGAGCATTTTGAGGGCATCGTCTTGATTGAATTGGTTGTTGACTATCATACTTAGTTGGAGAGGGAAAAAATGAGCTAATCTTGTGTATAGTGACGATTCGTATAGTTTTGAAGTTCTGGATAAATGCCGGGATGTGCGCGCCGGTGGCGTTTTTAATTGGCGCGAACCTGCACACATCGAATGAACACCTTAGTTCGACATTCTCATAATTTGCGAAGTTGAAAGATGGAAGCTGAGCAAAACTTAGATCACAAGGGGGGTCAAGGATCCGGGACTGACGACGTGGAAAGCATTGACGAGGAAGAAGAGTACGATGACGGATTTAATTATGAAGACTTCGAGTATGACTACGATGACGATGATGACAAGGACCTTATGAAACAATTAGGTCATGCTGATCCTGGGAAAAAGAAGAAAGGTGTGAAAGGAGGGAAAGGAGAGAAGAAAGCGCTTGATAAATTCCAGGAGTTCTTTCACACGATCAACAAAAGGAAGGATGATGAGGGCAGCGATGATGATTTTATCGAACGGACTGAGCGCATGCTGAAGGATGACTGGGCACTGAGAGACACTAAAAGGGAGACTATGAACGGCCTAGTGACCCTCCTATACGTGACCGAATGGGGAAAGCAGAACAACCGGTGTCACTTTCATGTTATTTACAAGTTTGATCGGGAGCACCGCAGACCGAAGAATTCAGTATTTAAGTATCTCCTGAAGAAATATGGTCACGTAAAGCATCAACACCTGATCTTAAGAAACACAATCTTGGGAGAACGGTACATTAACAAATGCGACCCGGGGAGTCGACCTGTTGTTCTCCTGGGAAAACCCTTAACAGCACGAGGACTCACCACTTGGGCTGAAAAACAGGGTCTTGAAGAGCGGCTCCTGCACTTGGTGAGAGAAGACGGAATTCGCAACGAAGCCAGTCTAGTTAAACTGGAACCCAGACTACTTGGCAAGGAAAGTATGATACGCCATGTAATGAAGGTTACAAAGCAGCACAAGGAAAGATATGTGGACCGTATGTACGTATGGCAGGTCTTTGCATTTATGTACATGTTGGCGAAGATGGGAGACGAGAGGACATACTTGCACTTCTATGATTTACACGGCAACTCAGGCAAGAGCTGGTTTGGTGGTCTAATGAAAACATACTTTCGTGATGAACTCTGCTTGATTGACGCCGCTGGCAACTACAAGGATATGGTGGATGCTTGTCGGAGTGAACTCGAATGTTGCAAATACGTTATCGTAGATGCAAGTAGGTCAGAGAACAACGCCAAATCAGTGGCTAAACTCGTCGGACACATCATGAATGGCAGGGCCCCTGCAACAAAGTACCAGGGGGATATGATACAATGCAGCGCTGAGTATGTTATTTTGTTGTCTAACACCCCACCGATTCCAGGGGTCCAGTCCTTGGATCGCATCATTTGTGTTGAGTTGTCTGGTCCTGACAGGGAACCGTTTCAGCTTCTGAGCACCAAGGAATGGATTACGAAGCACAACGAACTGATTATCAGAGACAAAACGAGTGAGGATTGGTTCCATTTAGAGGATACCCGTATTGAGGAGAATAAGGGACATGAACCAAAGGGGACGATCAGTTACCGCGCTTCTGTTCGATTTGACGGTGGGAGGATCGGAAAGAGAAAGTTTGGAGGTGGACAAGCTACCGTCACAGAGCAACCAATGATTGAAAATTACTACGCCTCCAAAAGATTCAAGGTTGTCCATGCAAACCCACTCGCTGATAGAATCGACCCTGAAACTGGATGGTGCAGCAGCATGAAACCATGGGTGTATCATCGCTTAAGTTTCAACGAGTTTGTTAAGTGGGTGAGGGAACATCCCGGCGAGTACAAAGAGATATCAGAGAAATGTCGAGATCCTTGCAAGGATTGTGGATGGAACCAAGTGAAACCTGACGAACACAACAATTTATCTTGGCACGAGTCACTTAAGGCTATGCGGGAGAGGGCTCACATTGACGTGAAGAAGGAAAGGAGGAATTTTATGAAGAGTGTTGAAGCACGCAAGTTAGAGGAAGAAGCCGAACAGGCTATGAGGAGAGACGAAGAACGAGGATCTAATCAAACGAGGGATGATTGAATGTCTTAAAGAAGTTAGGCTGTGAAGGTTCCATATTCCACAGCATTTTGCTCAATCTCTTGTTCATCTTTAAACTGTCTCCACAGAGTTTCTAGGCAATCGTCTGGAACTGGTCGTATATCGAACTCAGAGGGTAGGGAGGCGGACTCATCATTCAAAATCAATAGGCCTTTGATATAGGGATTCCCTCTGAGGGAAATTCTCCTTACATAGATGAGGTAATCCATGGTACCTTCATGCCAAATTTGACTCATGAACGCGTCTTGGTCAACCCTGGCTGACGATGTTTGATGGAAAGAAGAATGTTAAGGCTATCATTCGGTTTTTATGAGCGAAGGGGGGTCATAGGATCACAGCACAGCGATACGACCACAGCACAGCAGTAGAATCACAGCACAGCACAGCACAGCGATAGGACGAGACAGGCGCACAGCGATACGACCACAGCACAGCACAGCACAGCACAGCACAGCGATAGGACTAGATAGGCGCACAGCGATACGATCACAGCACAGCACAGCGATAGGACTAAACGGGGCAAGGCAGGGGAGGCTATTTGTAGCGCTCAATCGCTGCGGGGCTACTCTGAATACTGGTTTGTGGGCGCTCAGTCGCCACTTGGGCTAGTTTGTAGGCGCTCAGCTGGTTTGTAGGCGCTTAGTCGCCGCTTGGGCTAGTTTGTAAGCCCTGGGCCGGGGGCCCAGAGGCAAAAAAACGTAATATAATAGAACTGTTTTTTTGCCTCTTTGTCGGCTTAAAGGAAGGGAAAACCCACAAGAGTCCGAGTTAAAACCCACAACCCACATTGATGTGGGTCGAGATTCTACGTATTGTAAGTACCGTGGCTACGGCAGAACCCACAAACCCACAAAAAAACGTAAAAGAAGGGAAACGCGGTGCGGGTTTCGCTGACACAGCTAGTCTCGGTCGATTCTACAAACTTGTCTCCAAGACCCGGCGCCATGATTCAGGGAGATCCACCGGTAGGTTCATAGTTGTTTCGAAGTGGGTGGTTCGCTGGCTGTCATTGGCTATAGTGTGTACCGTAATGGTCTTGTCCTCGGGAATCCCATAGTTTGTGCGAAGACAGTCTACCGCCTTCTCTGCAACCTTACGGAGTGTCAATTTGAAGTGGCGGTCGGAATGGGGTGGGAAAGATTTGGAGTGCATCATTACCATGCGGACTGCACGCTTGATACTACTGTAGCGGTTGCGTATGCTCTTCTTCTCCTTCTCTTCTAGATCACCCCAGGAATCACTCTTTTGATCCAAGGCCATACCGGCTGGGAAGTTGTCGACAAAGAACAACACTGTTGCTTCTACCACGGAGGCGTTGCGGGAGAGGGCTTTGCTGCTGACGGAGAACTTCCTGACGGGTTGGTTGGGAGATGCTGCCGGTTTGCTATCTTCTCCCAGGATGTGGTTTTCAAGCTTTCTGATGGAGTTGGCCATGCTGTAGAGTTGGTTGGCATCAATCCTTTCATAACGGAGAATGTCCGTGATGTCACTGAGCTGGTGGCGTATCTGTTGGACTTGGACTTGTGTAGATTGGGCTATCGAAGAAAGCGTGGAGAAATGATCGGCTAAACACCGAACATCCATCTTAACGGACTTCCCCTTACCTCCGTACAAAGAGAGCTTGGATGTGGGAATACCCGGGAGGTTTCGAGATAGGAAGCCATGTCGGGCTTCCTTGCACCAATTGTTGAATATGACTCTGTCTACATCTGCTTTCACCAGAGCTTCTTGAACTCGACAAACAAAGAGATGGTCCTGGATGGTGTCGTAATCGTAGGAATGGTCGATGTCGTGAAGGTTGGGGTTGTAGGTCTTGAATGTACATTCCCGAATCACCGCACGCGGATGGGATCTCAACACTGTGCAGAATTGGTCGTAGCGGAGGAGGAGGGCCATCACCAGGAGCTCACGCACTTTGGGTTCCCAGCGGTTATCGGTATCCTCTTCGAATAACACGTTGGTGAAACAGAGTAGCTTTTCTCGATCACTGGTTACGGGAGCACTCGCAACAGGGTCTTCGTCAGACGAAGAGTCTGAAGAGGATTCATGGCCATTGATATCGTCAAAGGTGCACGGTTGACCACCAACAATTACATCACCGATCTTGGCTGTCCACTTGCTTACCACTTTACCACAGGCCTGGGATAGCACAGGGGAGTCATTGAAGTATTCCCAGATCGTGTCACGACCACGGGTTCCATAGGTTCTGAACACTTGGGCGATCCCTGAGACACTCGAGCAGTTTGCCATTACCTGGTTGCTGCCTTTCTTGTTGCAATGAGATGATAAATTCTCATTGATCTTATCCGCTAAGGTATCGAATTTGTTTCGTAGATCGTCAAAGAGTCTGGACCATAGCGATGACACCTTGCTTGCAGATTGACCAGACTTCGTTGTCGCGAGGGCTGCTTTTGAGAAATTGGGAAACAGATACTCGTCCTGGCAACCGACCATTACAATCAGATAGATCGCACTGAAATAGTAGTCTTCGAGGATTCCATCGCGGAAGGGGTGGATAGCAATGCGTTGCAGGTCACCATCTTTTTGGCGCTGCAAATCCAGGTATAACAGAGGGTATTCGTACCAGTCCTCGTTTACCTCCAGAACGACCATATCTTCCGGGGAGATGAGGCTGACTTCACTTCCTCTTGCCGCGCAGTGGTAACTTGCGTTGAGGAGGTGCCAAAACTCCGTACTAGCAGCAGTATACCATCCCAAATACACCCTGTCGAAAGGTATTCACGGTCTTCGCGGGTGCTGCCTTCGATGGATTGAACCATGCGAGTGTTGCTGGCGCGGTGATGTTCCCTGAACTTGCCTTGGAGTTTGCGTTTCAATGTAGACCATTGTGAACCATGGAACACGGGGATATCCGGGTCGACATCGAACTTCTCACAGCAACAATTTTTCACTTCGGATGTGTATTGGTCAGCAGAGCCTTTCGAGAGGCGCTTGGCGTTGGCTTTACACGCACGCGTTGCGTAGGATATCATGTAGGTGAAAAACGAGCCTACCAAAGAGCCCCACCATTTGAAGATGGCTTTTTGGTCTTCCTGCGGGGGAATGCCTTCGTATGGGATGTCTTTGGCTTCCACAGGGTTGATACCAATCTGCTTGCAATAATCTTTCAAGAAGAAATTGAAATGGGCGAGGCCTAGCCTGGATCTCTTCTCGGCGGAGGCAAGTTTGCTTTTGCGGGCATCCGCGTAGACAAGACGAGTTTCGTCGGCCATTGCAGAGAGAGATCGTTTGTTGTTGGCAGGGTTAGAGAGAGACCTTCGTTCGATAGGGTGAAAGCGGTGAAAGGCAGAAATCTGATTGGCTAATCAACCTATGACATCAGCAAATGCGTCAGCAAAGATTCAAATATACTTAACGTACCATTTATAGATATTACAGAGCAAATGTGCTACCTAGTCACGGTTTTCGTGTTTCTGTTTTCGCGAAAGAAGGATTCCTTCGATCGGCCGACAACGACAATGACATTCTGCCGCTCTGCTGCTCGACGGTCATTAAGAGAGAACCATGGAGCCACCAACAGCAGCACCAAGAGCAACAGCAGCAGCAGCAGCAGCAGCAACAACAACACAAAATGAAGGGATGGGCTGCCAAAGTCAGAATAGGAATTCCCAGCAGAAGAGAGCATATCAACTCGCCTCCAACAACAACAACAACAGATCCAAGAGAGCCAGAGAAGAAGGACCCCAAACAACATTGGGAGGAGAGGTAGCAGAAGTCTTTGATCCCTTGAAGAAGTGTGTCATCTGTAAGGCCAGACATCTTGGTCTCAGAATCCCAAAAAGATCACACCACGTTCTCTGTATTAAGAATACAGTAACAAGAGGAAGAGGAGATTTGAATGAGCTGACAATGGAAACCATCAGAGAGAGCAGAAGACTCACAAGGCACTTCAGTGCTCCTCTTCCACTGAATGAGAGAGGAAGCTGGAAGCACTCAACAAAGGAGAATGGAGATGCCTTCTTTGCTGCTAGAACAAACACAGCCAAACCAAATCAGAGCCGGCAACAGAAGACATCCAGAACCAACACCTCTCCAATGGCTCTTTGTCAAAAGGTCACCACTCTTGTGCAGGATAATGCCTTTGTCGAAAAGCACAAGACCAAAGGAGCACCACTGGCTATGCTAGCAATGGCAGAAGCTGTGTCAGAATCCATTATCAGGCCAAGGAATGCACAACTCTTCCACCAACATTTTGAAGGACTCACCATGACAGTTCCATCTACAGAGGAGCAATTCAAATCTCCCCTATCACTCTATTGTTGGCCAGAAACTCCTCATGGTGGACTGGAATAGGTGTGGTATTGCTGTGTCTTGTCCTGATGGTAGATGCTCTGGCCAACTCAAGAATGAGAGGCATAACTGGTCAAAGAACAAGACCTTGTTCCCTATCTTTGGCATCAGTGGAGCTCCATCTTGGTGCATTGTCATGTCAATGAAGTGTGACTGCTGCAACAGGGTATTCAATGCCAACAGTGCTGAAGTCTTGTGCACAATCCCACAGCATGCTGCTCTCCTCTATCCTGTGGAGTCAAAGTATGCCCTTCCAAACAAGGCATGTCACCTGGACAGGACCGCCACTGAGACTTTCGAATCCATCATGTTGACCTATGGAAATGGAGAACTCTGCAGCCGGCTCATCTACAATGCAATCAACAGAGACTTCATTAGGTCCATGACATCATACTTCTCCTATTGGGAGGGAAGTGACACTGATCCAGATCCCTTTCTTCAAAAGGATGGCACTTACATACGACGGTTTCCTCCTCTTGGTGACACCATCCGTGACATCTATGATGCTGCCTGTGCTTCAAACAGGAATCCGTGGAGGATCAGTGACAACGAAAGACACACAAGAGAAATCCAAAGTGTCAAGTGCAACAAAGGAATCTTCTGCCAAGACCATACCTTTCAGGTGGTCAAGAACTACTCCAAGAGTCTTGGTGCTGGTGCTGTTTGGGATGCTGCCACTGAAACAGGAGAGATTGCCTCTGCTGTTCTTGTTCCCACCACCAAGACCATCAACTTCTCCCATGCTGCCATGCAGCTAGCAAGGAGGAGCCACTTCAACCCAGCTGCCATGTACAGCGACACATGGCCCAACAAGGATGACTACTGGGAGATACTCTTTCCAGGAATCGAGGGAAGGCTAGGCCTGTTTCATTATGAGAAGAGAATCCTGTCAACTTTGAGGAAAGGACATATTGATTACTTTCAAGCAATGTCAGACCTCTTGGATTGCTTGTATGTGTACTCACCAGATGACTATGAGAAACTTCTCCATGCATTGAAACATGGCCTCTTGTCCTCCAATGGAAAGCACTACTCCATGGCAGAGATCTCCGATAAGCAAGCTTCCAAGGTCTTCAGAGCTAGGTACTCCAAATATCTAAGGAAGAAGATGAGAGAACCAGAGACCATGAGACAGAAGTTGCAGCAGTGGTTCTGCAGATACAAGGTGACTGCCAGTGATGGTAGCCAGCCGGGACAGGGTCGACTGGATCAAATGAAGAACTTTACCTTGTTTACTTCTGATACCAAACCAGCAGTAGAGAACTGTGTTGACAAAGCCATTCACTTGGCTGATCCACTGCCTTTGGAAGACATGTATGACACAATCCTTCCATCGCCCAACTCCAAGCACAGCCTCCCTGAGTATCTGTCAAGGAGAGGAGAATCCAAACTGGAAGCATTCCATGACAAGTTTGCCCATTTTGCCAATAGTGGCATGAGAAGAAGTCTAGCAGATGCCCTCAACCTTGCTGGAACAGCCAGATACAACCTCAACATTCGACACAAGAGAGCCTTCCTGTCAAGAATCAGTCTGGAAGAAAGGAGGTCAATTCCAGCTGGATGGGAAAAGGTTGTTCCATACTGGAACCATTCAGAGTTGGCTTACCTCAATGAGCTAGCAGAGGCTGCTGGTGTGGATGCACCATTCCCTAATGCAGAGCCATTGCCACAGGATAATGGAGAGAGGTTCTTTTCAGAGCTCATTGTTGCATTCAAACCACAGCGGCAGAAGTATGCACCCAATGATTGTTGTCTTTGTGCAGCTTGCACTGGAACACCGAGTCCACCAGCAATCGAGCCACCACCGAGTCCACCAGCAATCGAGCCACCACCTCCACCACCAACACCAACACCGCCGCCACCCCCACCTCCACCACCACCTCCACCACCAACCCAAGCAGCTGTGGCACAAACAACAAATGCTTATGTTGGTAATTTGATTCTATACCAGCAACAACAACAGATTCAAATGATGCAACTCGCCATGCAAATGCGGCAATTCCTACCTATACAGCCATCTCCTTTCCAGCCACCTCCACCAAATGGCTGCTGTCAGCGATACTGCCACTGGTTGACTCATAGGAGAGGAAGACCACCTCATGATGCCACCTGCCGGACTCGATTAAATGGATATCAATAAATATTTAGATGCTTCAAATTCATTTCTAATGTAGCCATTAACTTACATTAGAGTTCCACAATGGACAGCATGGTGGGGTTGCAAGAATCCAAGGTTGTGAATGTCTTCAATGCAATCATCAACAAAAGTCTCACTCATCAAAGTCAATATCTGGAAGGAGATTTGATTGTTGTAGTCATACCAGTGCGAACAATACCCATGCCAAGCATCCATCACAATCTGTCCTTCATTGGAGTTGAAGTCATAACTCTTGGTAATCATTTCCTTCACTAACCAATAGATGCACTCAATGAAGATGTTCTTCCTTTCACATCGTTCTGGCCCCTCCAGCATTTCAGAAAGGGTGGAGACAACATGGTTGTACCATGGTGGACTCTTCTGAAGACCCTGCTCAAACATGAAATCCATGATGCCTGTCATGTCAGGAGGAAGAGGCTTGCATCCTCCTTGCATAATCAAATCCTCCAGAATGGACACATCAATGGTCTTCGCGAGCACACAGGTGTAGTCATGGCGGTTGGTGAAGTTGCGCTCCCAAATGACAACATGCTTGCACGTGAATCCGTGCCTTGTTGCCCTCAACTCATTGAATGGGTATGCATTGACACTTATCAGCCACTTCGAGAACCTTGGACTAGTAGCGACCCTCATTGTCGACTCCTGTTGTTGTTGTTCTTACACCAGCAGATGTTGTTGACCGATCGACTTGACTTGACTCGGATGTCGTTGACGGATGTCGAAATTTCGAATTGTGGGAGGGTTTGGTGTCAGCAAAGGATTGGGAACAGAAAAAAGCGACTGAGATGGCTGGCGTTCGGCAAATTTGAATTTGACAACATCAACGAACCTCTCTGGTGACGTATCCACACGTATTTGCTGACATATTATTGTTCTTCCGACGTCTTACCCATGGGGGAGATGACCGGTCTTTGCCTACTCCCCTTGTTTTAATAAGTATTTGGTGGGATCCGTTATGACTTTTACGACCAACGTCAGGCCCTGCAGGCTCTCCGATTCGGAATCGGGAATCCAACCGATAACCCTCTCCCTTTCTTTTTTCTTTTCCCTCCCCCGCGCTGGTGCCTGACCCCCCCTAAAAGTCGTTGATAGGGTTGTGGTGGTTGTCGTCTCATCATGGATGGAGTGCTGATTTTGACCAGTGGACATCTGCTGACGTAATTCACCGGTATTCATGTCGAATTGAATTCAGGATTAGAATCAGATGCCCTTCGAGATCAGAGTGGGCGTGCAGCGTGGGTATCGAAGAGGTTATCTCATGAGAAGGGCGCGCAGCGTGGAGTCCAGTAGCGTCCAGCGAAATCGGTCATCGTCCAGCTAAAATAGGGTACAGATTATCACCTCTCTTTTGCTAGAGTCCGATGGTCTGGAGGGTCTGTCGGGACGACTCTGGATTGGGGTCTCGGCGTGCGCTCTAACCGTCTAACGGATGGCGGTTGTATATCGGTACCGGTTGTTGACGTCGATAACCGGTGAAATTGAGACGCTCGATACGATGTTAAATATCTTGTCGTGGGGTCTGTGGTTACGTTAAATAGGGTTCGCGTTATCTTGTCGTGAAGTGGTCATGGGTACCAGTGAAATAGGGTTCGCGTTATCTTGTTAGGTTCGTCTTACGACTTGTTAGGCTGTTTGATGACCGAGTTTGTTCACAATATAATTCCTATCTCTGACTCTCTTTCATCTGTC